ACTGAAAATGGCAAGTATAAATGTGGCAATAATAGCAAATATAAATAAATACTGAAAAAAATGTTAAGTCTCTAAGAGATAATTGACTGCTTAAAGCAAAAACAATAAGAGCATGTGGTTTGGTTTATAACATATGTGGAAGTAAAATGGATGACAGTAAGAGCACAAAGCCGAGGATGGAAATCCACCTATATACACAAAGTGGTATATTACTGGAAGGTAGACAGTGATAAGTTAAAAATGTATACCATGAACTCCAAATCAGCCACACAAAAAAAAAACTAAAACATACAGCTAATAAGATAACTAAAGAACACATGTCTACTTCTAAATAACTCATGGGAAAAGAAGAAACCAAAAGGGAAATTAGTAAATATTTTGAATTGAATGGAAATGAGAGTATCTGGAAGAATGCAGCTAAAGGAAGAAATTTAGAGCACTAAACATTGATGATAGTACAGAAGTTTCTTTAAATAACAACCTTAGCTTCCTTTTCCTTAGAAGAGGAAATTATAGCCAAAATTTAATTGTTAACATCTCAATCCAACAGAAAGTAAATGAAAAAAAAAAAAAGAACAGGAGACAAAGAACAGATGGAAAATATAGAAAACAAATTGCAAGATGATAGTGTTAGACCCAACAATGGCACAAAACACATTAAATGCAGATGGTTTAAAGACCCCCCCCCCAATTAAAAGGAAGGGATTGTCAGACTGGATTTAAAAGAAATGCAACATCTAGCTACGCGCTGTCTGCAAGAAATATACTGTAAACATAAAGTCACAAATAAGTTAAAAGTAAAAGGATAGAAAAAGATATACCATCCTAACACTAGTCAAAGAAAAACTACACTGCCTTTATTAATATCAAAGTACTGTTTGCAGCAGAGATGATTACTGAGGATAAAGACAGCCCCTGAAGAATTCATTTAATCAGGAAGACCTAATAATCTTAAACATTTATGCATCTAATAACAGGGATTCATAATACATGAAGCAAAAACTGGTAAACCTGAAAAGATGAATAAACAAATCCATAAGAGATTTTCAGATACCCCTTTCAACAGAGATATTTCAATACCTCTTTCTCAGTAATTAATAGAATAAGCAGATAGAAGGAACAATATCGAAGACTTGGACAACACTACCAATAACCTTGAACCAAGCAGCATAGGACACTATACCCAACAACAGCAGAAGACACATTCTTTCCAGGGCACAAAGGGCATTTACCAACACAGCCTATAAAATCAGTCTCAATAAATTAAAATGACTGAAATTATATACAATATGTTCTCGGACCACAAACAGGAACTAAAAACCCATTAACTAGAAAATCCCCAAATATTTGGAAACTAAATAATATGTTTCTAAGTAACCAAAAATGAGTCAAGCAAAGAAAGTGAAAAGGAATTTAGAAAGTATTTTGAACTGAATGTAAATGAGAATACAACATATCACATTGTGGGATGCCACTAAACCAGTGCTTAGAGGGAAACTTATAATCGATGAGAGTGAATTAAAGCTAAAGTAATCAGAAGGGAGAATATAATAAATAGAAGTCAATGAAACAAAACACAGAAAATCAGTGAAAACAATTCAAAAGCTGGTTGTTGTTGTTTTTCAATCAAAAACTCACTAGAATTCATATGTCTCTATACAGACTGACTGGGAGAAAAAAAAAGTCACAAATCACCAATGTCAGGAATTAAAGAGGTGGCATAACTACTGATCCTACAGCTCTTTAAAGTATATTATGAACAACTTCATGCCAATAAAATTGACTGCTTTGATGAAATGGACAAATTCTTTGAAAGACCTACACTACCCCAAAGATCACTCAAGAATAAGCAGAAAACCTAAACAGCCTTATATCTATTAAAGAAATTGAATCTTTAATTTAAAACCCTTCTGCAAAGAAAATTTTAAGCCCAATTCTATCAAATATTCAAGGGAAAAATAACACCAAATCTATACAAAACTTTTTCACAGAACAGAAAAGGAGGAATACTTCCGAAATCACTCTATGAGGCCATCATTACCGTGATACCAAAACCTAGAATATTTATTGCTAGAAAAGAAAAACTACAGTCCAACATCCCTTATGAACATCAATGTAAAAAATTATTTTAAAATGTTAGCAAACAGAATTCAGCAAGATATAAAAAGGATAGATAATACATATCACACCCAAGTATGGTTTGTCCCAGGAATACAAGATTGGTTTAATATACAAAAATCAATCCATAAAATTTACCGTTAACAGCCAAGAAAGAATAGTCAAATAACCGTCTCCATAAATGTAAGAAAAGTATTTGAAAAGTCCTACATTTATTCCTGACAAAAATTCATAGCTGACCAGGAATTGAAGGGAACCTTGTTCAGTTTCACAAAGAATGCCTATGAAAAACTGATAGCTAATATTTAATGAGGAAAGATGGATGCGTTCTTCCTCAGATCAGGAACAAGGCAAGGTTTCCCACTCTAATGACTTCTATTCAACTTGTACTAGAGGATCTAGCCAAAAGCAATGTGACAAGATAAAGAAATAAAAGGTATAAAGACTGGAAAGGAAGAAAGAGAATTGCCTTTACTTGTACATGACACAATTGTCTATACAGAGAAGCTGATGAAATCTGCAAAAAAGGTACTAGCACTAATAAATGAGTTTAACAGCTAGCAGGGTAAAAGATCAATATAAAATTAGTTGTATTTCTAAATACTAGCAATGAACAATCAGCAATTTAGATTTAAAAATTACTACTTATAATACCCTAAAACTATTACATACATAGGGATGAATTTTTGGACAAAAATATGCTAGTTCTGTATATGGAAAACTACAAAATATTGCTGGAAAAAAGTTAACAAAAGCATTTAAAAAATAGGTACACTGTATTCATAGATCAGAAGGCTCAATATTGTTAAGAGCTCAGTTCTCCTTGGATTAGGCAAAGATCTTTTAAAATACAACATCAAAGCATGATCCATAAAAGAAACATTTGATAAATGGTATTTCATCAAAATTAAGACCGTCTACACTTCACAAGACACTGCTAAGATAATGAAAAGACAACTACAGAGAAGATCTTTGCAAATCCCATCTCTGATAAGGGATGTATGTTTTAAAATTCAATTATAAGAAAAAAATCCATCCCAATTAAAAAAAGTTGGCAAATAATTTTGACACATCACCACGCAGATACGTGGATAGCAAGTAAGCACATCAAAAGATGTTTAATGTCACCTGTCAACAGGGACATGCAATTTAAATCCATGGTGAGATCCCAGGACACAATCTGTAGGGTGACTAAAATGGAAGACTGACTACACAAAGTGTTGACAAAGGTGTGTTGCAACTGAAATGCTCACACACTGCTGCTGTGAACGCAACAGGGCACAATCACTTAGGAAAACAGGTTGTCAATTTCTTGAAAAGTTATACACACATCATATGGCCTGGCCAGTCTGCTTCTCGGCGTCCAACATACATGAAAGCATACAACTACACAAACATTTGTACGTCAATATTCATAGCAGCTTTATTTGTGATAGCCCCAAACTGAAGAGAGCCCAGATGTCCATTAACCGATGAATGGATACACAAAATGTGATACAGCCACACCATGGAAAGCTACACAGAGAGAAAAAGAAATGATCTGCTGATACATGCAACCAAATGGATTAACTGTAATAGATTCTGAATGAGAGAAGGCAGCAAGGGGGAAGCTTAAGTATTCTATAAGTCCACTTATATAAAATTCTAGAAAATGCAAACTAGCTAATAGTGACAGAAAAGAGACCAATAGTTGTCTGCAGATGGGGAGGTAGGATACATGAATGGTGGCAAAGACAGACTAAAAAGGATATGGGAAAACTTTAGTGGGGGGAGTGATATGTTCATTACCTTGATTATGGTGATGTTTTCATGGGTGTAATACATGTGAAGACTTACCAAATTGTACATTTTAAATATGTATAGCTTACTGCATCAAAATTATACTTTTAATAAATTTATAAAAAATAAAGTCATGTATGGTCATCCGAGTGTCAGTCATAGAGTTTCTCTCATGGTGTTGACTTTTGCTGTGAACTAGCAAGCTCTATCTAGCCCATTTGAACCAGGTGCTTTGCAGTGTTCTGATGACAGCCAAGTTTTCCCTGAAAATGGGTTGCTTTTCTTCAGCATTATGGGAGTTAACTTGACAAGTGAACTTTATCCAAGAATAGGGTCAACCAAGGCACGAAACAGCAAGTTATAAGGTCCCAGACTGATGCGCTCTGTGTGGTGGAGGTTGGTGATGGTGGCAGAGAGAACAGAAAATATACACACAGGTAAACAGCAAGTGGAACAGGTAGAGGAGGGGGGAGAATCAGTGAGGAAAAGAGATGGAAGGACAGGAAGGAAAGGAAGAAGAGGGGAAGTAAAAAAGATAGAAAAGATAGAGAAACCAAGTTCTTCTTTAGTCTAACTTTTTTTTTTTTTTTTTTTTTTTTTACCACGTATGCCTCTGATGTCCTTGGGCAGGTGACAAATACTTAAATTACTTTCATACCCTAAACAGTGATTTATTATGGTAATATTAGAAACAAAATTAATTTACCTTAGAGAAAAACACTAGCTATCAAGTTCAACAACGAAAGACTATTTTCCTTGGTTTTCTGGATATCCTGTAAGGTGAGGCACCCCCAACCAATTTATATAAGGTCATTTTCAGATCAATGTTGTCCAGTACTATTTTCATGACTTGTTTTAACATGCATTCATGGTCTAGCATCTCTAACCCAGCTAGAGTCAGTCACAGTGGTAAAGAGTGAGCAAAAATATCATGATAACCATTCGGGGAAGGGCGGTTACATGAGCCTAAAACCTCCAGCCCCTGACTCTGAAAGTCAAAATCAAATCAGTTTTATTTTCCTCTTCAAAGGCACATTCCAAGTAAATCCACATTTGTTTTTAGGAGCAAGAAATGGTCTATAAAAATCTTAAGATTTTCCTACCTTGACAAAAATTGTTGAATTGCATTCTTGCAATGCCTCCATCAAACTGATCACATGGAGACATACCATTTCTACCATCTGAAACAACAAAGATGAAAATCAATTCCACTCCCAGTGATCCACACACCTTGAAACCTAGTCTATAGCCACAGGCAACCCATGTCCTGCGTCCATGAGGCTTTTGGGCACAATGACCAAAGGGGACCCCAAGGGATGGTGTTTATTCACCCCTTGAACCTCAACTAAAAACCAACTTAAAAAGCTCCAGAGGTTTTATAATTATCATGCCCTCCTTACCTGACTCAGGGCTGCCAGTGGGATTTGGGGATTGATCTCACTCATCTCTACTGCATGTGATTCATACCAGGGGATACATGCCTTCTCCTCCTCTCCTTCCAACTACAGAACTTGGCCCTGGGTCCTTTTCTCCATCTTGACCCTTTCTCCCCAGTTTCTTCACCTGAAGTGACTGTTCAACTTATTACACACTTGTCTGTGCGGCTTTGTTTGCTACAGAACAAGGTGGCCACGTTGACGATAGTTCGAAAATATAATGCAGAGGACGGCCCTCCTCAGAAATTCGTGAGGCTGGATTTTGAACGATCCCGGGGCGGGGGCGGGGGTGTTTACCAGGCTGGCCCATAGAGTTTAACAAATTTTTCAGGATAAAATTAATTCAAACTCAGTAGCATTTTTGGTACAAAATTCATTTGTAACAGATTTAATTCTAACATTTGTATATCAAAGAGATTTGGAGAGGAGGTAAAATGACAGCAGAAGGACACCAAATCTCTACTTAAGGTCCCATTTCATTGTCTGTAAAGTAACAGAGCAGAATGCTTGATCTCTAAGTTCTCCTTAGACAGTCTCAGACTCCATGACCCGAGAAATGTTTATCTCAGAACTGTCTATGTACCCTAAAATTGTCACATAAATTTCCTTTAAACTGAACTAAAATACCTCTCTCCATACAAATTGCTTTATAACATCTGCTTCTCTAAAGACAAGGAAGTGCTTCACTGAAGGAGATGTATAATCCCCTTTCCAATTAGAGCCGAGAGAAAATGTTTCTCAGACTAGTATCAATCAATCAAAAGTCATTTCCGGAATGCCTTTTGTGGACAGTGCATTGTTGGGTTTCTGGGCACACTGGAATCATCATTATGACGTTCTTCAGATCCCGTGCCCCTCACAGATGAGAATTCGCCTGATAAAGCCCCCATAACCAAGATACTAACTGCCATTAAGAATTCTCCAAAGTGACAAACCGAACCAAAGGACTTCCTGGTCCCTTCCTCCCACCCACCCTCCAATCTTAACTTCATAGGACAAATCCAAGCTTGTTCAATGAACTGGGCTCATGCCAACAATACCCCCAGATATTTCCCAGTGAGGTTCTGAGCAGCCCCTCTCTTGGCGAGCCATCGGAGTTAAAACTGAGCTGGATTTGAAGATTGGGGGCACTGAGGTCCTCCTAGAGTGACTCAAAACAGGGAGGCTCTTTCCAGGTTTTGAGCCCTGGGTAGAATGAATGTGTGTGGCTGGTCTGCTTTTAAATACCACAGAAGGATGACCCAGTGGGTGAGGGTTTTTCCAAATTGCCTGAGAATCCAAAAATCATAGCGATCTCCTTCTGACTTTATAGCATGAAGCAGCCCTTCAAGGTAGATGTTTCACAGAAATTTTCTTTGGCACTCAGCAGAGCGAACAAAAGTTGTTTTTACTAGATTTACTCCTTGCTTTGTGTTTCCATCAAAATTATCATGCAAACAGAAAATCCCTCTTATCGGGACGCCTGGGTGGCTCAGCTGGCTGAGCGACTGCCTTCGGCTCAGGTCATGATCCCAGCATCCTGGAATCGAGTCCCACATCGGGCTCCTTGCTCGGCAGGGAGCCTGCTTCTCCCTCTGCCTCTGCCTTCCTCTCTGCCTGTGCTCGCTCACTCTCTCTCCCTCTGTCCCTGACAAATAAATAAATAAAATCTTAAAAAAAATTTAAAAAGAAAAGAAAATCCCTCTTATCACCTAGAAATCCACCCATCCATTGATCTAATATTACAACTGAGATCCTTAAAGAACATGGCATATGAGGACTGGGAGCAGGTCATGCCTTTTCACCCGAGAGGGGAAACTTATTCGTGGACTCACCACTTTGTTATGGGCCATCAGCTGGAGGATGCTGGGTGTCACCCTGCTCCAAAACTCTAGCGCAGTCAGTATTGCCGTGAAGCTGAATTCATTCTGACTTTGGACGTTTGTCGCTACGGCGCTTTGCTCACAATACACAGTCCAGAGCTGAGCAAAGATAAATGCGTGGAAGAGGGAGCACATGTGCAGCACGGAGGTCTGGAAAGGAGGAGACGGAGCCGTTACCTCTCTGTGGGCTGTGGTGCTCCCCGGGGCCCGCCCTGCATAGCCTCAGTCTCCTGTGGAGCACAGCCGAGGCACGGCGACCACCAGTGATTCAAGCCTGAAGGAGTGATCTCAAAACTTGTGATCCACCACCTTAAGACAATCTGTTTGGGGACGCCTGGGTGGCTCAGTCAGTGAAGCACCTGCCTTTGGCTCAGGTCACAATCCCGGGGTCCTGGGATCGAGCCTGGCGTCAGGCTCCCTGCTCCAAGGGAGCTTCCTTCTGCCTCTCCCTCTGCCTGCCACTCCCTCACCTGTGCTTCCACCCTCTCTGTCCAATAAATACAGTCTTTAAAAAGAAGAAAAAAAAAAGAGACACTCTGCTTTTTGCAGGGTCAGTGGGAGTGCACAGAAAAGAATGGAGCATCTTTTCAAAGAGAAGGCACCTCGGTTTGCAGAACACGTGGACCCATCGCCTTGCCTATCAATGACCCCGACATTCTCCTCTCTAAACTAGACTGGGAAGAAGAACCATTCCACCACCTTCAACGATTTCCTCACCTGTAACATGGGTGTAACAGGACTCTCCTTCCTCCAAGAGCTGTAGTAGGAGAAATGAGGCCGTGCCTCTGATCCCACTGGCCAGTACTTACCTATGACATGACCACTAGTAGGAGAAACGGCAGCTTCAAGGACAGTATTGCTACCAGCGGTAAGCACTGACCGCGTGAGTGCCTACAATGTCCCAGACGCCAGGCTAAAGACTTTATCAAAGATCACTTCCTTAATTCTCAAACCATCCCCTCATCTATTTCACCCATGAAACACGAGCTCCGAGAGGCTAAGTCACTTTTTTGAGGTCACAAATTACAAAGTACTGACGTTAGGAAATCAAACACAGATCTGGCTCAAAATACTAGGAACGGACTGCCTGATTCTTTCTGTAAACATCACGGGCCGTTTGGACGGTGCTGCATTTTATCCCACCATCGGCTTGCCCTGGCCGACATCCTAGCGGCTCCCAAACCTACTGTGACTTCCCAGAACTTGCCTAAGCTTGCGAAGGGCCCTTGGGTTCTCTTAGTTGGTTAGTACCAATGGGTATGGTTGGCTGACACTGGCTTACGACGGATGCCTGCCTCGGGCTCACTTTATTCCCTTAAGCATATCATCTGTCTCTACAATTTACCAAGTTCCCCTGTGTAGGTGATTCCGGCGTGCACTTTAGTGAGTTCCCAACTGGCCTTCTTCTTTTCATTCTGTATCTTTATAATCTACCTCTAGAGACAGAGGTTGAAAAGATACTGCATGAAAAATGAGAGCATGACTTTGCCTCCAAATCATATTCAGTTCCAAAAACTTGATCATAGGATTTTTATTATGTAGCTCGTCTCTTATTTATCTTCATTACTTTGAGACAGAAACGCCTAGGAAGCTAACTCTTGCTTGCCTCCATAATTTATCTTCATAAAAGGAAACCGAAAGACAATTTAAGGAGGAAGCAAAGATAGTGCGGGAATTTAAACCATTCTAAATAAGGCATTAGCAGAAAGCTGCTTTCCTAACATCCACAGGAGGGCCAGTGATAAGATGCATTCTCTTCTCAGAAGAAACATAATTGGCTGATAAGGGTTTCCATTAGCCCTTTGGCTGCCTATGGTCTTAAGTTTGCAGAAATCACTTACCTTTGATTGCTCTGGAAACCCAATCAGGATAACAATGAGATGGTCTGCGATATGAGAGCCTGCGTCGAGAGGTATGGGCAGGCACGGAGAGGAGGCATTTGGACACACTGCGTTGTGAGTGAGGGAGCCCAGGAGCAGCCAGGACAGCAGACGGATGCGGGAGACACACTCGATGAATTCTTTCGGCCTAGCAGGTAGACGGAAGTGTTAAAGGCGATTTTATGGCTTCTGTTTTGTTGGGCCCTCACCAACTGCTTATTGATGGAGGGCATTACAAGTGTGGTTTTATAGGCAATTACATACAATAAAACACCAGGGGGTCAGAGGGCCAACAAAACGATGGGTCTGTTTTTCTGGTTTCCGGCTCTGATCCCGGACCTTAAATGCCTGAGGAAAGAGCAGCATCTGGGGAGACGGGATTAAAAACCATTCTTCCGCCAACTTGGTTGCCTTTCCAACTCACTTCTTCTTCTGAACTCTTTCTTCTCATTGGAAGGTTGGACATCCCCACTAGAGGGGAAGGCATCGAGGTGAACACCTAATGCACAGCCATCCGTCTCTCCTGCCCTCCTGTCATTTCCTCCCACTGCCCTCCTGCCCTCCTACTCTCCTCACCCCGAAGGCCAGCCTTTCCTCCAGCCAGGAAGCTGACTGTGCAAAAGGACAGCCTCAGACCAGCCCACGCACCCCTCCCCCTTCTGTGCCTCCTTGCTCTCCATCCCCTCTCCGCTATGGATTTTGTTCTAGCGGCAATCCAACACGCTCCTTGAAGGCAGGAGCTATGGAAGTGGTCCATTAATACCTATGCGTTTATGTAACTAGTCGGAATTACAAGGTGAAACCGCACCTCTACACTCCAAATTTTCACCATCCATCAGGATATGGCTGAGGTTCTCGTTTGAGGGCAAGTTCCTTTTACTGGCAACATACCAGGCAGTGCTCGTCTTAAAAAATGCTGCCAGGTCAGCAAGTTTGAAGAGGAGGCTCGGTTTCCATCTTCCCAGCCAATCAACTCCCACTCCCATAAATCTTGGATGCGTCCATTAGCCCTCGCGGCTGAACTGATAAGGGCCTTACCCTTGCTGCATGGCAGAAGGGGGATGATAGAGCCAAGGCAGATAGCGAATCACAGCTTTGTTATCTCTGTGGTTGCCCCGTGAGATTTCCATGGCTGCAATCTGAGCCAGCCCAACTTTGAGATGTCCACCAAAGGTATCTTCATGCAGAGGCTGAGAACATGTCTTCATGTGGCTCTGCAAAAGCAAATGGTATTTCATGACTTTGGCAGAGCACCTGGGAATCTTCCAGACCACTTGCTTAAAAGACCGGGTTGTCATTCCCTCACCCTCTGAGCCACTGCTCCCAAGCATACAACCCATTTAAACTTCCTCAGTGGCTTCCCATTTTCTTAGGAACAATGGGGGGTGGGGAATTCCTTAGCATGGACCAAAATGCCTGGGATGATCTAGCTTATCCCTGTCTTATCCCTTCATCCCAGCTACATTGGCTCCCTCCCATTCCTGGCCTTTGCTCATGCTGGTCTCTCTACCCAAAACACTGTTCCTGCCTCTCTTCACCCAATTAACTGCTGTTCGTCATTCAGATTTTAGCTCAAGTGTCACTTCCTCCAGGAAGGCTTCCTTGACTTCCCTGGCTAGGTCATATCATCCTATGAGAAGTTTCTATACCACTATTTTATCCTCCTGCATAGCAGTTGTGAAAGTCACACTTTTCCTTTATCTTATATGAAATTTTCATTAAAATTGGCCCCCATATCAGACTATAAATTAAACGAGCATAGTTACTGTGTCTTTTTGCTCACAGTCGCATCCCTACATGCCTAGACAATGCCAGGCCCATGACAGGTGCTCCATACGTATTTGTTGAGTTAATGTAGAAAAAGTCTTTTTCTCAGTGTGGCTTAGTGGAAAGACTATTGAACTGGAAATTGAGATGTGGGTCCCAGGCCCAGTTCTGCCCTAATTAGTCAGATGGCCTTAGTCAAGCTCCTTGGGCTTTCTGATCTGCCTCCTAATCTATGTCAAATCAGAGGGTTGAATTATATCTCTAGTCCCCAGCCTTTTGATCATCATGGATCCCTCTCAGTGTTTTTCTCTGTATTTTGGAAGTGGCTATACAACTAGCTAACATGTTTAGGTTATGTTTCCTAATGTTTCCTCTTCTTTATACTTGATATCAAAGTCATCTGAGTGTGTACAACCAGACTCAACAGTCAGTTACTGGTGTGAGGTCCAGCTAGGAGAGCCTGCTTAGGAATGCCTGGGTTCAGATACCACAAGAAGTCAGCAGTTTAAATTCTGGTTCTAATTTCCACCTAGCGTTTGCAAATCCATCTCTATCCCAAGAAAACTTTGGATCATCTGAGCCGAGTCTGGAAATGCAGTTGGGCAAAGGAGGAACCGCGTTTGTAGCTGATGACTTTCTGGAGCGACTAGAGACTGTTGACCATACAGGAATCATCTATGGCCAGCTTGCAATCTGGCTGCTCCTGGGCCGTGTTTGGATCCCCTTCTGCCCTCTGTCCCAGGCCTTCCCTGAATCTCTGAGACTATCAGTCTTTTAGCTCTAGTCGACTCATGGCGGGGAAGTTGACTTGTATCTGCCTGCAAAGGAATCACTCAAGAAGAACCTTGACAACTTTGCTGGGATTGTGTCCATATGCAAATCAGATTTTGTTCTATCCCGTCTTTAATTATTTCCTTGAAGAGGAGAGCTTTGATGCAGATAACCATGAAAGGCTTCTGTTTGCATAATGTGTTACAGTTCACAAAAGTTTCTTCCCACGCACAATGCCACGTCAGACCTCGTAACCATCGGCAAAGGTAGATGTTAGGCTTGTCTTGCAAAGGAGGGAACGGAGGCTCAAGGGAGTTAAGTGACACTACATGGTGTAGTGAAAGGAGAATGACCAGGAGCCACTAGAGCCTTGGGTCAGCCCTAACTCCACCGCTTAGCAACAGTGCCACCTGGAGCAAATTACTGTACCACCCCGGGCCTCAGTCTCTACATCTGTAAAATGGGGACTACGCTTTAACCAGGGGCATCGTGAGTACCGAATCAGTGGCAAAATGAAAGCTGGGCACATCACTCCTGCCAGCAAAACAGACTTTCTATTCTCTCTTTCCTCTGCACAGGCTGAAAACCCATGCTTCAGACCCCCAGGAGGCTGCGTTTATTAGGGCCTTGGCTGCCAGTGGAAGCCTCTTACCTTGAGTTTGGTGAGCGTGTGCATGTCGGCCATGAAGTCCAGCACCTCGCTGATGTACTGTCGCACACACTCCATTGCAGCCGTCCCGCACTGAAAAACAAGGACAGCGCTGGGGGCGCCCTGCGAGTCACAGCCGTCACTGTGGCCCTGACTGCAGTCACTCTCTTGTTCTGACTTCACGCTGCTTGCTAATGAGCTGTTTCAGTTTCTGGAGCTCTGACTCACTCCATTACTCTCCAGAGTCTGTGACTGTCTGCCCACAGCTTGGACAAAAAAATGATATGAGTTTGGTGGTAAAATGCTAAGAAATGGGGACAGCGCAGGGGAGACAGGGGTTAACCTGCTTTTTCTCCACTGGGGCGATCGAACTAGGTTTTGTGTGCTTGTTTTTAAACTGGCCTGGATACACAGATTGATCCTATGTAAAAGCCCTTAGGATCAGAGTCTTTATGACATGAATTAGCCCTGAAACTACACTACCCCTTACCACTCTGGGGAGGCTCAGATACGTGCCACCTAATTGTAACACCAGAAGCTCGGACCTTTCCCCATCAAAAAACGAAAAGGATAGAAACAAACATCATGTGTGCTCCAAGAGTCCAAAATTCTTATATTCGAGTCACTTGTGATTTAACGCCTTATGCACGGTAGGCGTGCTATGAAATAGATGATAATGTATGCTTGCCGTGTTCTTGCTAGGGATAAAGAGAGAGGGAGAGAAGGGAAAGGATCCTCTTCCCCCCCACACCAACAGCCTGTTTGGGAAGTTTTCAAGGAAAAGAAAGCATACTTGTGTTCCCCATTATTAAATGGCAAAAACCTGCCCAGGGCAATGCAGTGAATTTAGGATTATAAGCAAAGAAAAGGCAAATGAACAGACAAGCTGCTCCACCAAATCTCTATGAGCGAGCCCACACATCGGGCTGGGCATAATGGGGATCAAAAGCAGACCGTCTTTGAAGCCATCTGAATACTACGCTAAGGCCTTTCTTGGCTTTCTTTTGGAAAATCTGGAACATTAGAGACTTAACTAGCTCCCCCAGTGGTGCTCATTTTCCCATATGCATGTAAATTTGCACAGCCCTGAACTATATCACCTTCTATCTCTTCTAGAATGTTACGCCTGTCAGTTCCTCTGACACGGTAACAAACAGTAAAATAAGGTCATTGGCAGTGCTGTCAGAGTGTTTTCCAAGCATTTCATACGTTCTAAGGTTTTCTTCTTTTAATTTAAATCAAGGGAAGGAATTATAAAAGGTTATTGTGTTCCTGCTTTTGGAATATTAATCCTTCAGAGCAAGAAAGGATTTCCCCCCGATTTATTCCATTTTCTCTGACCTTTCACATGTCATGCAAATAGGAGTATATACTCTGTTCTTTAATTTCGTGAAAGGGATTTGTTTCTTTCATAGGCAATATTTTATACCATTTCAACGAGGCAAATGTCAAAGAAAATAATTACAAGGAGCATTATTCAATATTTGTCTTCTCACTTTGAATTTCAAAAAATGAGAGTGAAGAATTTACTAATATCCAGCTACTTTTGCTCTAGGGACAGCACCTACATCTAACAAAAGCCTTAAAATACAGGATCATCTTAGCCATCTACACTTATAAAACAAAGCATATCATTTCCAATACCTCCACACACCATTTTTTTAAATTACTTTGCAAAACATAAGCATAACCTTAGGTTTGCTGTTTTTTTTTTTTTAAAGCGAAAAACATAAAGAGTCAAGTTCTACTTGTTTCTGAAGGCCCTCGTTTATTTAAATAGGGAAACTGATGATAAGGAGTTGAAAAAGCAGTCTAGACTCAAAAACATGAAAGAAAGGGGATTGTACCCAATTTTTCTTTGAAACTCGTATCTCATTTCCAAGTCCTCGTTCTTAGATTATAAAAGTAACACATGTTCAATGTGAAAAACTTGGAAAACACTCATTAACAAAAAAGAGAAGAATCACACAGCCCTAATTCTTGTTCTCCACTTGTGAGGCCATCACTGTTGGTATTTCCTTCCAATGTTTTTTCGAACACATTCAACATATACACACATATATATAATTTTTATAAGACTGAGATCACTTTTTCTAGCTTGTTTTAAAATTAAATCCATCATAAGCATTTTCCAATTAATTATTCTTTGAAAATGTGATTTGGTATCCACACAATCATCTGTTTTGTAGAGGCACCTTATGTTATTTAAACAATACACTAATATTAGTCAACACACACACACACACACACACACACACACACAAAACACTCTGATTAAAAAATGGGCAGAAGATATGAATAGACATTTTCCAAAGAAGACACCCAGACAGCCAACAGACACATGAAAAGATGCTCAACATCACTCTTCATCAGGGAAACGCAAATCAAAACCACAATGAGATATAACCTTACACCTGTCAGAATGGCTAAAATAAAAAAAAAATAAAAATGAAACAAAAAAAAAAGAGAAAGAAATAACAAGTGTTGGTGAGGATGTGGAGAAAAAGGAATCCTTGTACAATGTTGGTGGGAATGTAAACTGATACAGCTACTGTGAAACAGTATGGAGGCTCCTCAAAAAATTAAATATAGAAACATTGGCTATTTACCCAAAGAAAACAAAAACACTAACTCTAAGAGATACATGCACCCCTATGTTTACAGCAGCATTATTTATAGTAGCCAACATGTGAAAGCAATTTAAACATTCACCAATGGATCGGAAAGGATAAGGAAGATGTGATGTGTATATGTATTTACAATGGAATATTACTCAGCCATGAAAAGGAAGAGATTGTGCCATTTGAGACAACACGGACAGACCTAGAGGTAATATGGTAAGTGAAATACAGCAGACTGAGAAAGACAAATACCATATGATTCCATTCATAAGTGGAATCTAAAAAAACCAGGGAGTAAACAAACAAACAAAAAGCAGAATCAGACCTATAAACACAGAGAACGACACAGATGTATAGCCTGAGGCGGGGGGTAGGAGTGGGCAAAATGAGTGAAGAGGAGTCAAGATGTAGCTTTCCAATAATGAAATGTGGAAGTAACAGAAATGAAAGGCACAGCCTAGGGCGTATAGTCAGTGATACTGTAATAGCCTTGTGTGGGGACAGACAGTAACTACACTAGCTGTGAGCACAGTGTAACATATAAACTTGGGAAATCATCACGTTCTCCACCAGAAACTGACGTAACATCTTGTGTCAACAATACTCAAGGTAAAGTTTTAAAAAACCGATATGTTCATGTTAGATCTTACTTTTGTTTCCATATTTTTACTATTTTAAAGGTTATTTTAATAAATATATTCCTTATGTGCATATTCAATTATTTTCTCCAACCCAGTACTAGAAGTAAATTGTCAAACTGTTCTTCAACAAGGTTGTACCATTTTTCACTACCACCAGCAGCTTTTAAGCATACTTGTTTCACCTCATCAATAAGTTTAATCAATAAGACCTGCTGATTTGTTAGCTGATTTCAATTTTTATGCTTTTAAATGTTTTGAGACTCTGTATTAATTTATAATTCACCAATTGTTAATGAGGGTAAAAAGGCATATTTTGAAAGGCTTATTGGGCCCTGGAAAAAGTTCTATGTATGGATCCTAGAACTCTTCTTGCTTTTCTGTTGTTATTGGAATGTCTTTCTTTTACTTGTTGCTTTCAACAAAGTTTTTATTTATTAGGGATATTATTTTTTTAAGCTATCATGTAGGTAGTAAATACTGAGTTTTAAAGAATTAAACAATAAGGAAACTAGTGAGTAGGCAGCAGAAACTGGCTCAGTCCTCACAGAACTGCTTCTTTTCTTCCCTCGTGTGCAACTAGACCAAATTTCCCAAGATCCCTTGCATCAGGAGTGGCCATAAGACAGTTCTAGCCGAGGGAGGGTGAGTAGAAGAAATATACATCATTCAAACCTGGCCCATGAAAACCTTCCATGTACCATACTCTCTTCTCTTTCTCAACCCCCACCCCTTCTCTGCACAGCACAGAAGGAACCTGATCTCCTAACTTTCATGAGAAAGTCCTCCTCCTCCTACTAATTAGAACACCCATGTAAGCTTGATATGAGCAAACGATCAATGTTCTGTGTGTTAGGTGGCTGAGAATTCATCTCATGGCATCTTCCATCACCCTAACTACTCTTAAGAACTCCTTTAAAAAACAATAGTTTAGTAATTCTACTCTCAAAAATCTACTGTAAAGAAGTAATCTCAAATATGGACAAAGATTTAAGCACAAAGATGTTTCTCACATAGTCGTTACCATTACAGAATAATGAAAATATCCAAAAATAATTAATGTTTGTTTATATGTACAATAGGTAATATTTACTTAACACTATTGAAGGTCTGGCCTCAGGCTAATATGCTTTCCATGCATTATCTCACTCAATCCCCAAACTAGATATTGGGCCCTATTATATCCCATTCTATAGATAAGCAAATCAAAGTACCATAGGTTAATTAGCTTTCCTGATCACACAGCCAGTGAATGGCAGACCTCAGATTCTGGTGTGCATCCAACCCACATGCACTTAAGCACTCTTCTATGGTGCGTTCACATGAGGTCATGACTACAGCCACCAAACTCTGGGGCTAATGCTCAGGACTTTCAAAGCCAAAGCCACATCTAGATCATAATTTCACTAGGTTTAAAAATATGCTTAGGAAAAGTGAAAGAAAATACTTTAATCTGTTGGCTATAAAACTATCTCTGGGCTGAGTGATTGTTACTTTTCCTCTGTCATAAAATTTCTCTGTATCAAAAAAAAAAAGTTAAATAACCAGAATTTTAAAAATTATGTTTAGCATTGTGGGAAAAACTGGTATACTTATACATGTAAATTAATTAAATCCTTTTAGAAAACAATATGAGACAGCATACCATTAAGACATTCCTACTCTCAGGAATTTATGCCAAGGATATAATTCAAAATAAACATGAGGATGGCCTTTGTAGGAATATATATATATATATATATATATATATATATATGCAATTAAAGTGGAAAATAAATACATTTCCAACAATATGGAAATAAGCAAATTAGCATATTGAATAGATCGAAATATGAAAGAAATTTTCTAAAACAACAGTGTTCTAATTGTGAGGCAGAGGGATTACAGGTGATCTTTTTTCTTTAAAATTTTCTCTACTGAAAATTTAAATAATTTTCTTCAATGAACAATATCACAAAAGTTTCACGGTTTTGTTGCAGTCAACTCGCTCTCAGCGTTATTGTGGTTTCTCATCTTCAGCCCCGTCAGTGAGACTCTTAAGGCCCTTTTACCAAATAGTTCACTAGTTGATAATAATGCAAATTTTTTTTTAATTTTCAGAGGAAAAATTACAAAAGAAAAAGAAACCAAAGTATCACAACGTTTATTTCTTTCCAGCAGTAGTTCAACTGAATTGGTTCACAGGAGCTAGTCTAAGAAAACAGATTCTGAGAAAAATTGAACTGTAATCAAATGCATTTTGTACGTCTGGTAATTTCTTTCCTCCCTTGCATTGGCTGCTTCAGTTTTACTCATGTCTCCTGGAATTAAAAGTTTCCAGGGGCTGGGATTAATTTAAATTTTCACTAGGCTCTTTTAAAAAAATGCTAATATGTTCTTCATTTTATAGTGTTTATTCCAGCAAGAGTGAACCAGGACACAGGTCCAAAAATACCTCTTTACTAAATGGGGACGTGAGACGAGATAAAAATGCAGACAATGAATTCAGTCAGGACTTACTCCAGGTACAGAGGCGATCATTTGCTTGCTCAGGATTGTTGACTCAGCTAGTTTGGTCCCAGCATCCGCACAAATAAACTAATAAGAAATTGAAAGCATAATTACTTTTAAGAGCATTCGGACAGTAGTCTGTTATTTATGGTTTTATTAACTCGGCTTAAATTCATTAGTGTTTACTCTCATGACAATCTGCTCTGGATATATGGGGCTTGCTAACTATGACAGTTTGTTCCTATCAGAAGTTCAGACTCGTAGGACCGAGAAGAACACAGATTCGTACTTTACCCAGACAGCTAAGTGGCACTGGAACGGTGCATTCAATTGAGGGAAAAAGGAAAGATGTCAACACGGTCAGATTTATTCTGAAATTAGTTATTCTATTTATTCTTTAGTACTTCTTGACAGTTCCTGAATTCACATAGACTTTTCCAGACTTCATCATTACATTGCACGTTTAAAATGAAGACAGAAAAACAATCCATTTCACTGTGACATTCTGTTTCTTCCCATCCGAGGCCCCCCAGTTGCTGGGCTCTCTCACTTCACCCACACCTATCCTCTGTGCTGAAAATGACCCCCATCCCTGTCCTTGCCTCACGGAACTTTCACCCACTCCCACTGTAACAGTCATGACACTAGACTGCAGGGACCTACGAGTCTATATGTTGCATCCTCCTACGGGATCTCCAAGAGTCCTACGGGCTCCCTGCACTTGCCCTCCAGCACTAGCTTTCGGCCTGACATCATGGAAGGGCACAGCCAAACTGTGTGAAGTGAATCAATGAACCAATAATGACAAGATCTTGATGGGGATGGATTTGCCAGGTTATGATTTCATTTACTTCATTACAGATGTTTGTAGGTGTTTCCCACTTAATACAACACCCAACCGGGTATTAATGGTTTCAGGAAAAAAGTTAAACATGAAGTCTGCAGAGTTTGCTATGTGCAGTAAGGTCCCTTCCCAGTGACCTCTGGCCAGTGGCCCCAACAACTTTGGCTTCAGTGGCTCTGGAAGAAGCTTGGACATTGACAGCCCTTCCCTCTTATTCCACTCTCACACTGGAAGCAAAGTTAGGTAGGTCAAAATGATGGGTCCTGCAAAGCAGGTTATGTCCCTGGCAAACTGGGGAGAAGTAATAAAGGTTTGGGTCGTAGAGAAACATACAAGAAGGCCTTACAGAAAACAGAAACCAGCATACTGTCAGGCTCATCTGGGCTCAGAATCAGAGCATTAATAGGTTTTGGCTAACAACACAGAGATTTCAGCCAAAGACCTTCCAAGGGCGCCCTGAGACTTCTTGTTCAAGACCTCGTTCAAGAGCTGGCCTTCAAGCGCGGTCCTCCAGGAGGAGTATTTCATCACAGAACTGAGCTGGGGGCCAGAGAGAGCGAGCAGAGCTGTCACGGACAGCAGTGTGCCAGGAGTAGATACATATCTCTACTCCACGTTCACACACAATCATCTCCATTTGCCTCAAATACAGTTACAGAAAGCTAAAGAATCTATTTAGCCATTAACTTTCACTCTGGCAAAGAAAGTACCAGCTAGTAACATCGAGGGAACACCTAAAATTTTCCATTATTTTATTCAGGATAGCTTACCACTTGGACTCATCCCTAATATAAGAAAAAGGAAATAAATCAGGATTAAAAAAAAAAAAAAAAAGGAAAGCCTAGAACTTTGGCCAGAACCTTTCAGTAAAAAAGTAATATATCAGATGGAAGTACCTGGTCAAAAGAAGAAATAGTCCCAACCTCTGGCAGACACTGCCTGTTCTCCCATAAAATGTGTCTTCAAAAGCTATCTGAGTCTGCAATCTAAGACAAACTACTTAGAACTAAGTTTCAAAACCTCCGTCAGGATACCAACATTTTAATTAATTTCTTTACATGAGAGCCAAGAGCTTTTAAATGAGAGCCAAGAGCCAAGGGGAGGACAGAAGGGCATACAAGTGTGAGGGAGGGGAGGCTCAGACAGAGAAGTTCTGCCGGGGTTTCAAACTGAAGGCCCCTTAATCTGTGCTTCTATGGCCTGGCCATGCTCTTGAGAGCTACAGAAGATCCTTGGAGAAGCAGAACTTCAATGTCTCTATCTCTGTTCACAAAAAGCCCTTCTCGCCTCCCATACTCAGCAAAGCAGAACAAGTAGCACCATAGAAGTAGGTTGTCAGTCATATCACGTCAATGATGGGAGGCCAGATTAAAATGTCTGTTTTGTGGTAACTCTTCCAAGTCAGAATTAATCAAAAATCACCCTAAAGTTTATGGGAGAACCACAGAGAGCCTTGTGTATCAATGAGTATAAAAGTGGACAAGCCTCTAAAACCATCCACCATTTATTTTTTTATCAATGTATTTCAATCCAGTGTAATTTGGGGGGTACCTGGCTGGCTCAGGTGGCAGAGCATGTAACTCTTGATCTCGGGGTTGTGAGCTAAAGCCCCATGTGTGGTATAGAGTTTACTTAAAATTTAAAAACATTTTTTTAAAAATAAAAATTAAAAAATCCAGTGTAATTTTCACATAATATGTAAAACTAAAACCTTAATCGACACTTCTTTTTACACAGCTGCCAACCATGACCTGCAAAACCCCATTATGATTGTCCAGAATTGCTCTCAATATAAAGATATAACTAAAACCAGAGAGGGAAAGGATGTTTGCCACAGAAGGAAGAATTCCATACTTTGAGACAGAAAGATGCCTAATGAACCGTGCCCTCCAGCACGAACACAAAAGAATACAAAAGAAACACGACATCCATTATGTGTCACTGCTAAATTCATCATCAAAATGAGACTCAAAATAATATCTCCACCTCTCACCCAGAGAGTGATCAGATTATTAGGAACTCAACTAATAATAATAACCCCACTTCAATAGTATCTGTGACTTAAAGACAACAGCCATCCCTCTGCCAAGTCTTTGTCCTCCAACCCACCACTAACCTATCTTTAAAAGCGAATGTTTCACCCACACGGTTTCTCACATGAGTCTATGCAGGTATAACCCACACAGTGGGAGAGCCACATGCAAATTAGCAGAATGTCTACTGTTGACACATAATGGGAGCTGAGGAAATGCTTTTTGATTTGGGCTTATATAGCCTTTAGAGAGGCTTTTAATGAGTTATCACTCTGTTATGAAGACTCTGCTTTAACCCAGCAAGAGAATACTTATAATAACCTATTACACACCAGCTATCTACAGCAGACCAGCCAAAGAGAAGAGGTTGCAGGTGAAAGCAAAAATGTCCACAGGTCTGAATGAAAACAAGGTAGGGCATCTGTCCAAAGTGCTGAAGGACTACGTCCTGCTGGTGGACAATCTAGATTCTTAAGAACACACATAACTTTTTCAATTTGGCAAATTCTTTTCTATCTCCAAGCCTCTTTTCTTGAAAAAGTAAAGAATCCAGTTGCACATCTGAGGACTCCTGACTTGATACACAAGTCAGAACAAGTACTAGCAGCCATGGCTAGATGACCACAGTGAACAGTGGCAGATTTCCCATGATAATGGGCCTCCAGAAGGAATTTTTAAAACCAATTGGTACCTATCTTACCTTGAAATATTTAAAACGTGGGTGGCCCCATATCCCTTGGGGAAATGTTCCGTTGTTCTTTTAGGGCAGAGTATGTGGTAAACAACAAAGATACCATCTATCTATGAGAAGAATGTAAATGGCTCCATGTTTGTGAACTCATTTACCCAGTCCATGATTAGGAAAGTAGTAACGGAGATACCCTAGTGATCCTTGTGGAAGGAAAGAATGAAGGGAAAATCCAAGGTCTGAGTCACTGATTGTCTTGTCACTAAAGGAGCTAGGGTCATTCAGGGTGGATCACTGGCGGTTTCTCCTTCCAATGAATGCTTTCCTTTCTGTTTCCAAGTTGCATTTTCAGTTAAACAAAGCCTCCCCCACTGCCATCAGGTGATGGTCGCTGATATCTGTGGAAGTCACTGTCATCCCCTGACAGATTATCTGTCTGTACTGTGAGCCTGGTCCCCCAGGTGCCAGGAACTGACACTCCATCAGTAAGGAGGAAAGCGTCTCTTGGACTCAGACTAGATTCTCTGGTCTAAGAGAAGCTACCAGACAACAGGCTATCACCTCCGCCATCTTTCAGAGAGACCTGCAGGAAGCCTGCAGTCAAGGGCAAGAGAGAAAAGAACTGGGAAAACATCACAAAGATGTCCTATTCATGGAGAGAGATGGTAGATGCTTCTCCCTCAGCCCATGAGGAGCTCCATGGAGGACCTCCCTCCATGGTTTAGGAGGAACCACTGAGCAGATAAGGAAACTACCTCTGTTTTTTTAAAGCATGCTTAACTTTTTTTCTCTCGGTAATAAAAAGGGTTTATTCTAAGAGTACATAGAACAAAGATATATTACTTCAAAATAGTGTACTGTTTAAAATTTTTTCATCAGGAAGATTGAAACATTATTCTTAAGTCATTTTTCATGGACATGACCCCAAAGTGTCTCTGAAGTACCTTCTCCAACATAATTTTACAACTTGATTCTTAACATTTAATGATTCCATGACAAATATACCCTTGTTCTAAAACGATGAAGATGCTATTTATTTGAAATGGTATGTGAAAATCCAAAAAACACGTTCAGAACGACTTACTCTTTGGGGCTTCTTTATTCCTAAAGCTAATTTGTTTTTGTTATTTATTCACCTAGTGGTGATGCAATAATCACTGTTTTCATGGTTTCCTTAAGCACTGGGCAATTTAAACTGTCAGTGTTCTTTTGCTGTCTTGTGACAAGTGCTTATTATGGTTGACTAACATACTTCACAGAAAACCAGCCCCCCAGCAGCAGTCATGGCATGGGGTGCTAGACCCCAAGAAGATCAGCCACACAGATTAGCTCTGCTCAAGACTGAGGGCAATGAAGAGAATGTTCTCTGACCGAAGCAGGAAAACACCTTTCAGGCCTGGAGACCTAGGCTGTTTGGAGGTGGCACGTCCCCATCCAGAATACCATCAGAAGCCAGTGATTCTCATTTACTGTCAACCTGATAGCTTAAATCCCTCATGGGCCTTTCCCCTAAGGCCAGTCCACCTGCCCTCTTCTGCAAGCTAGCATGGATCCCATTCATTCTTTATGGTCGGTTTGTGTCCAAGTTGCTTTTACTCAAAAGCAGTGAAGCTGCTTCAGCAGAAGTAGGAGGGGCTGGCCAACGGGGCTGGCAATCCACCAGAAGAGAGTCCAAGTCAGCCCCTCCTTAGGAACTTGGGTACTTCCTGGCTGTGACTTGTCTTCTGTCTTCCTCTTGGGTTGTCTAGCATCCTGGTACAATGTGAGCTATTTTCTTTTGACTATAGTGTGCCTGACATTCATTGGTGGCATCGGCCAGTGATCACTGCTCTCAGAGGGCTTCAAGGCACTCCAGAAAACCAGACCATGGCTTACTGAGAGCACACCAACTTCTCACTAAATCTCATGCCTTTGAGAAACATTCCATTCTGGTTCTAAGGATTAAGAGTCTATGGTAGGGGAGGAGGGAAACCAGTGGTGGATATTAAATTGCTAAGTGAGAGCTGTTGTTCCTCCTCGTCTCCCAGGGAAACTCCTGAACTTCTGCACATACCTCAAGGCCCACACGGTCCCTCTTCCACACCGCTTCTCATTCAGTGTGCACCTCTGCTACCGTACCTGTCACCCTGTGTTGGAAATGTCTGCCTACATGTCAACTTCACCCACTGGATAGTAAACTCCCAGGAGGAAGGGGCCATGGCTTATTCATTTTCCCAGTGCCTGGGCCAAGTCAGGGCTCCGACTGGCTTACTGAGCCTTCCTCTGTCTCCCAGGCTGAGCCAGCCACTCCCTCCTCTTTAGTACTTTCCATATTGTGCACATTTCCGGTAGAGTGGTTAGCCTAGGGTTTATGTCTATCACACTGCCATATCTCCAGAACCTAGCCCGGGACAGGTGGTCGGTAAATACTTGTAATGGGAGATACCACTGGACAGTCAATGTGGCTATTCGTCAATGGTCAATGGGGCCAGATGACAGAAGACCTCATAGCTCAGGTCAGTGCAGGTTTTCGGCGCAGGGAGTGATCTGATAAGAAGCAGAGTTTGAGCAAAACTCCTTTAGTCAGCCTGAGGCCAGAGGGCTGCATTTGTGTGGAGAGAGGGGAAGGCAGTGCAAACAGCTAGGAGCTGTTAAGGTGAGAGGGGTAAGTGAGGCCAGGAGCCTGATGGGGCTGTGTTCCACACTGAGTAGACCCTGGCTGTTGTGGTCACCACTGATGCCAGCTGTGTGGTCTTGGGCAAGTCACTGAACCCCACTGAGCCTAGTCTCTCAGCTGTGACACAGAACTAATACCTCTCACTGTTGTAAGGATTAAGTGAGGGGAGGATTAAAGCACCCAGCAGACTGCCGGGCACCCGACAGGTGCTTATGGTGTTTCCTTCTCCCTCATCTCTCCCACTGGCACCCCAGTTACCTAAGATTCAGGGACACTTGTCTAGTTCTTTGATATCAAGACCCCATTGTCCCCTAGTCATTTAACCTCAACCTCGTAGGTCCAGACTCTGACACTGGTCTTCATGCTCATCGGGAAGAAATAAAACAGCTGTGACTCGTTTCTTGAGCACTTTGCACAAAGGCAGTCTGAATGATACCCAGTCCCAGGTATAGCAGAAGTCCACGTCTTTAAGTCTAACCTTGGTGTGTGAGGTGGGGGTCCCAGTCTACCTGATCCCCTGCCAACTTCTTTAATGTAGCCAGCCTGCTTTTCTCAACCTCATCCTCAGGCCATTATCCCTAAATTTAGTTCACCTTCCTATTAATGCCTCCCCCCATTGCTTGAAGCCAGTCAGCCCCTGGTGCTGAACCCCAACCTCATAGAAAGACTTTTGGCTACACCCACCAGTCCTTTGTGGCCTATGTCACATGCCACCTCTTTCATGAAGTCTTCCCTGATTTCACATTATAGGACATGGGTTGCCTCCTGCTCTTAACACCCCCCAGGACTTTGTTTATATATAACTCCTCCCACAGTACTGGTGAGAGTCTATCTTATGTGTTAAAAACCCGCATACTTGTCTAAGATGCTGAGCTAAGGATGCCAGGGATGGAGGGCCTCAGCCCCTCATTAGCAACCCTACAGCCAAGAGCCTCAACTCAGTAAGTTCTCCAGAATCTTCCTTGTACACATTCAAGCCCCTCTGTCTCAGGGCTCCCAAGGGTGCTGGTGCTTTTCACCTCCACCTGCCACCCCAGCTGGACTCCATACGTCCTGCCACTTGACTGTGTGGTCAGGCCCACCCTCTCCTTCAGTTCTGCTTCACAGAGATGTGGTGACCCACCCATATGCATGTGACTCTGCAACCAGATCTCAGCCTGGTCCCTCACTTGTGTCTTCCTCAGTCCCCTGCCAGGTCCGGTAGCTGTTCACAAGCTGCCCTCCGACCTACCCAGCTGTTAATTTCTTGAGGGTAGAAATTAGTGTTCCCATCTTCTTTTGGTCCCTCACAGTACTAGTTCCACCATAGGAACAAAGTAAATGTGCCCTTTCTGTCTTGTTTACCCAGCGAGAGTGCCAAGTGCATAATATTACTTAGGTCACGGCTCATATAAGATAGATTAGTTCTCGTTTCTGGGCGGAGTTCTTCGATCTGTGCATATGCCCCACACCTTCCTTAATTTTTCCAAACACGGTGCATCTCATGGAAAGTGTTACAAAAAAACGCAGAAGCCCACCTGGACAAGCAGGAGGAGGTTTGTATCTGGTAAAGGGGATTTGAGCTTCAGGGCCTGCAGGAGTTCCAGAACAACACTACGAGACAAGTAGAATTTATCCCGCTCCTAAACAGGACAAAAGAGAAGAAGGTAAGCTAGTGTAAAAACTCAGTTAGAACAGACCTATGTCAAAAGAGCTTCCAGGAAAGTCACAGGTTGGAAATGAAAACCAGTATTTGAAAATGCATAATGAACTGTCCTTAAGAAATAAAATTCAAATGAAAAAGAAAAAATTTAAAGGGCATTTTTGTGTGCGTAACAAGTTTACAGAAGCACCGAGAACACATAATTCAATGGATAAGGACAAGATAGGATATCTCTTAAACACTGAACCCACTGGATTAGGTTCTTGTTCACAGGAAATGATAAGTTCCAAGAAATGCAGAAATTAAATCGAAAAGCATTTTTCCCAAAAGGAAATGATTTATTTAGAGAGGAACTTATACAGCAATTTTCAGGGTCTTGTGGCCTCTCTAAAGAACTTACTTTTCAAATGGGCTGCTTAAGCACACAGAAAAACAGATGGAATGTACCATGTACTACCACTCTTCTTGGCCACATCATGACATTTTGCTCCATTTAACATTTTTCAGGATAAATAAGACATCCCCGAGGGGCGCCCGGGTGGCTCAGTTGGTTAAGCGTCTGACTCTTGATTTCTACTCAGACCATGATCTCAGGGTTGTGAGATCAAGGCCCACATCAGGCTCTGTGCTGGGCACAGAGCCTACTTACGGCACAGAGCCTACTTAAGATTCTCTCTCCCTCTTTCTCTGCCCCTCCCCCAACAACTCATGCACACACTACTTTAAAAAAAAAAAATCACAGAAACTGTTGAAACGACCTAGATGGTGTTCTCTTTTCTTTCTCCCTTCCTTGAAGTAGCCACTATTTTGAACCTGGTGCTCATGATTTCACATATGTTTTTACTACCTATGCATGCCTTCGTTATAAGATGTAATACTATTTTTCATGTCTTTGTAACTTTCTATGATAGTGTCATACTGCGCATTTCTTTCTGCAACTTACAATTTCTCACTACATTATATTTTTGAAATTAGTTCTTACTGTTACATGTAGCTCTAGTTCTTTCAAATAAATGGCTTAATTACATTTTATTATATGAACATACTGAAATTCATTGATCTGTTCTCCTGTTAATAGAACACGAGATCATTTTCAATTTTGTACTTTTTTTTTAATTGCCAATGACAACACACATGCAGAAAAGTACATAGGCCATAAAGGTGCAGATGAAATGGATTTGTATAGACTGAATGTCAAGGTCAAAGTGCCAGCACCTCAGAAGCCTGTTGCGTGTCCTTTCCTGATCATAACCAAGTAACCAGAGACCCAACGGGTCTGCATCCACTTTTTTTTTTCCCCTTATTTTTATTCATGGTGTACTACTTCCTTGTATGTCCGATGAGCTCTGCATACTGAATGGTGTATTTAAAAAGTTATTTCTAGAAATCATTCGAAGCCTGAAATGTTCTCTTCATCCAAAGAGCTCTCTGTTTCCTTTTTGCCAGCTCCCTGAAGGCACTAGCCTGGTCCAGGTTACCTTAACACACAAGCCCTATAATATCTTATCTTGGGCCACCAGAGGGTGTGACATTGAGCTCGATGGCTGTGAGGATGATTTTACCTCCGGGTTATCTTTACTTTGTTGTCCTGACCAAACTGGGGTTGGGGGGTGCAGAATCAGACCAAGTTCCTGTTCTTTGAAGGTCCTGGATTCTGACTCTTGTTCCCCTCCTGGATCTTCTGGAATTACAACTCAGCCTCTTAGTCGCATCTCTGCACTTCTATGCTCTCCCTGATCTTAGCCTGGTGATTCATCTAATATCTGGTTAGCATTTTGATGCACTGAAGTTTTCAAAAAATATTCTATTCGCTTCTTTTTTAACTTTTTAAGTGGGAAGATAGGTTCAAATGATCTAGCCCATTATTATCTGGAGAGAAGTCTTAACTTTTTATCGAAATTATACTAAATCTATAGGTTATTTTGTGAGAATTAACTGTCTTTATTATGCTGGGTCCTCAACCATGAACACGAGATCTATCTCCATTTATTTAACATTGTTGAGTAAAACTTTCTGGTTATCTCCATAAAGTTCTTGCACATTTTTGTTACATTTATTCTCTGTTGACACAATAAATGACATTTTTAAAGTACATTTTGTAATCATTTGTAGCTGAATATTAAAGGTGGATGATTCCTGGGTAATCATTTGTAAGCAGCATCCTTGCTGAACTCTCTCACAGAAGTTATAAAAAGGTGTCTACAAGTATATTTTCTTCAGTTTGTTTGTAATTACATCATCTGTGGAAAATGAGAGTTTTATTTTTCCTTTCCAGTCCTTATACATTTGATTTCTTCCTCCTATCTTACTGAATTGAGTGGGACCTCCTGGACCATAATGAACAGGAGAAGTGATAGTGGACATTCTCGTCTTACTTAGTATTTTGAAAGGACTACGTTGACATTTCACCAGGAAGTATAACGTTTCCTAGAGGTTTCTGTGTAACTTGGTGGCATAAATCAATATTCTAACATTTAAACCATTCTTATATTCCAAGTAAATCCTCACTGGGCCAGGAGGTTTTATTTTTAACATACTAATTTGCTATTATTCATCCAGAATTTTTATACCTTTAAAGTAAAATTGGCCTGTAATTTTCCTTTCTCCCACTGCCCTTGTCTGTTTGGTATCACAATTCTACTGGCTTCATAAAAGATGTTGGAAGCATTCCTTTCTTTCGATTATATTAGTTTGCACAAAGTAGAGCTCAATCTGTTCCTTTGGTGTTTAATAGTAAAGTTGTCTTTAAAACTGGGACAGTTTCTCATTAATGATTCTGTTTCCTTAATCGTTGAGGTCCAGTTTTTTTTTTGTTTTGTTTTGTTTTTTTTGTTTGTTTTGTTTTTAGTTGTCATATGTTAAATTTTTTTAGAAAATTGTCCCTATGGTCCAAGATTCCAAATTTACGAGCACAGAGTTGTTCATTTCAAAGTCTCTAATACATCTAGAGTTATATTCCCTTTCACATTGCTGATATGTTTTATCCATGCCTTTTCTCTGCTTCCCTTAATCAGTCTGGCCAAAGTTCTGCCAGTGTTATTGGTCTAATCCGGGAGCCCCCTTCTGGTTGTACAGATCCTCCACTGAAGTCATGTTTTCCATTTCATTAATTCCTGCTCTTCTCTCTATTATTTCCTTCCTTTAAATTATCTTATGGTTACTCTGTTATGTTTATTTTAACTTGAATTGTTAGCTCATTTCATTTCTCTTTCTTTTCAACAGAAGTATTTCAGACTACACCTTTTCTTCTAAATATCTCTGTAGCTATAGATCCCAACAGTTAGAATGCAGTATTTTCATATTTGTGTGGTTCTAAATATTTTTCTAAATTCTCTTATCTCCTTTGATGTATGAATCATTTAAAAGTGTATTTCAAATTTCCAAATATAGCAAGTCCTAGACACCATTAATCCAGTAAGTACCTTTGTATGAATTCGAAAGAGGGCACACGCACACACAGAACAAACACATATACATATGAACACATCCTGCAAACCCGAAAAACGCTGTGCACTTCCAGAGCCGCGTTCTTGGTAGGCCTGGCTGCACGCATGCCGTGCCCGGTCACTCACTCACACAAGCCCTAGGCACCACACACATACACATTCTACACACACCCCACCCCTGCAAAGGGACCTGGTTAGGGTCCGAATCTGGCAGGGGGCCGGGACTTAGACATCTGACAAGAGGGGACAGTCAAGAGAAGATCTCAAAGGCCCCTGGGTGGTAGCTGGGACAGGGCCTGGCCACCTACACGTGTGTGTGCCAGGAATGTGTGCACGTGTGCTATTCTCTACCCTGTGAGACGGTGCAGCTTTTTGCAGGGGGGTGCCTATCCCAGCTGCTCGAGAACTTGACCAGGAGGCCCCAAATCTCAGTATAAACCTGCCTCAATACTCACATAAAAAATAGTCTAAGATGTGTGTAGCCTCCCCTTAGATATGGAGCTTTTCTCTAGGTCACCCTTAAACACCTCTGTGCAGTTATGACTTTGTTATTGATCTATAATTCAACTGCATTGTGATTAAAGAACTTGGTCTCTTTGAAACAGATTCCCCAGTGTGTGTTAAGACTTTATTTGTGGCCTGGGGCTCCTGGATGGCTCAGTCGGTTGAGTGTCTGACTCTTGATTTCAGCTCAGGTCTTGATCTCATGAGTTCAAGTCCTGCATTAGGCTCCACACTCGGTATAGAGCCAAATGAAATGAAATGAAATGAAATGAAATGAAATACTTTATTTTGGTCTATTACCTGTCCTATGTTTACAATTGTTATGTATATGCTTTTTCTTTTCCTTTTTTTATTACCTTATGTTAGTCACCATACAGTACCTCATTAGTTATTGATGTAGAGTTCTGTGATTCATTGTTTGTGTATAACACCCAGTGCTCCACGCAGAACATGCCCTCCTTAATACCCATCACCGGGCTCACCCACCCCCCACACCCTTCCCCTCTGAAACCCTCAGTCTATTTCCCAGAGTCCATAGTCACTCATGATTCTACTCCCTCTCCAATTTCCCCCACTTCTTTTTTCCCTTCCTTCTTCTAATGTCCTCCATGTTATTCCTTCTGTTCCACAAATAAGTGAAACCATATGACAATTGACTTTCTCGGCTTGGCTTATTTTACTCAGCATAATCTCCACCAGTCCCATCCATGTTGATGTAAAAGTTGGGTATTCATCCTTTCTGATGGCTGAGTAATATTCCAATGTTTATATGGCTATATCTTCTTTATCCATTCATCTGTTGAAGGGTATCTCAGCTCTTTCCACAGTTTGGCTCTTGTGGACATTGCTGCTATGAACACTGGGGTGCATGTGGCCCTTCTTTTCACTACATCTGTATCTTTGGGGTAAATACCCAGTAGTGCAATTGCTGAGTCACCGGGTAGCTCTATTTTTAACTTTTTTTTTAACTTTTTGTGGAACCTCTACACTCTTTTCCAAAGCTCTATACAGAAGAGTGAAACTCAACCATTCTCTTACACCATACACAAAGATAAACTCTAAATGGATGAAAGACCTTGATGTGAGACAGGAATCTATCAAAATCCTAGAGGAAAACATAGGTGGTAACCTCTTTGACATCGGCCACAGTAACTTCTTTCAAGACACGTCTCCAAAGGCAAGGGAAACAAAAACAAAATGAACTTTTGGGACTTCATCAAGATAAAAAGCTTTTGCAAAGCAAAGGAAACAGTCAACAAGACAAAGAGGCAACCCACGGGATGGGAGAAGATACTTGCAAATGACACAACAGATAAAGGGCTGGTATCCAAGATCTATAAAGAACTTCTCAAACTCAAACCCCAAAAGCAAGTCAAAAAATGGACAGTAGACATGAACAGACACTTCTCAAAAGAAGACATATGAATGGCTAAAAGACACATGAAAAAATATTCAACATCATTTTCCATCAGGGAGATTCAAATTAAAACTACATTGAGATACCACCTTACACCAGTTACAATGGCAAAAATTGACAAGGCAAAAACAACAAATGCAACAACAAATGCTGGAGAGGATGTGGAGAAAAGGGAACCCTCTTACACTGTTGGTGGGAATTCAAGCTGGTATAGCTACTTTGTATATGCTCTTTCTAAAATACCTTCTCAAACTGGTGAATTCAAGATTCTTTATACATCTATTGGATTCAATTTGCTCCTTACATTGTTCAAATCTATTCATTTTTTATCTGCTTGATCTATTAATTACTGAAAGAGATGTGTCAAAATCTCCCATTATGAGTATGAATTTGACAACTTCTCTTTGTAATTCTATTCGTTTTTTGTTTATATATATCAAGCCTGTATTATTAACTGTCCAAGTTTTATTTTTTTATTTTTTTTTTTTAAAGATTTTATTTATTTATTTGACAGAGAGAGATTACAAGTAGACAGAGAGGCAGGCAGAGAGAGGGAAGCAGGCTCCCCACTGAGCAGAGAGCCCGATGCGGGACTTGATCCCAGGACCCTGAGATCATGACCTGAGCCGAAGGCAGCGGCTTAACCCACTGAGCCACCCAGGTGCCCCAACTGTCCAAGTTTTAGAACAGTCACATTTTTCTAAAGAATTGTTCCTTTTATCAATATAGGGCAAACTTTTTTATAAAAATAATTTTTAACTTGGATTCTGTTTACTGGTTTCAGCTTTATTTTAATTAGTATTTGCCTGGTATATTTTAAAACTATTTTTCTTTCACACTTTCAACAGTGTCTTTAGATGTGTTTTAGAGGTATCTCTTATAAATAACACATAGCTGAATTTTAAAAATCAAATCCAAAAGTTCCTGGGATATCTGGGTGACTCAGTTGGCTAAGCTTCTGACTCTTGGTTTCAGCTCAGGTCATGATCTCAGTGTCTTGAGACTGAGCCCTGAGATGGGCTCTGTGCTCAGCATGGGATCTGCTTCAGAATCTCTTTCTTTCCCTCTGCTCCTCTCCCCCCACCTCTCTCTCACTCTCTCTAAAATAAATAAATCTTTTTTAAAAATCCCAAAATTTCTTATATTCATTGTGATTATTAGATTATTGGATTCATTTCTACTCTAGCTCATGGTGGATTATTTCTTTATATGTTTTATAATTTTAGTTTGTAAATTCGTGTTCATCAGGACTGTAATTCTCGAAATTCTGTTAGGTCTAGACTGAAGTCATATCCATCCAGAGTGGTTTGAGGATAGGTTTTGAGCTTACTTCTATCAAACACTCCAATTCTATTACCTGCTCTGTATCAATGTTACTTGACTTTTCATTCTGGGGGCTCACAGAGTACGTAGGTATCTTAAATTCACACTCTAAATATGTTCAAAGATAGGTTCATGTTACTAATTCTCAAAGGAAACTATAAATCTTTCTAGGTTCCTAGGCTTAGATTCCATTCTTTGTCACCTCTATATAGGAATATATTCTTTCCAAATCACCCTTTTACTAAATGTATACCTTTTCAAGGTCCTGACTTTCTACTGGGGATGACTCAGAGCCAACTCCAAGCCTGAAACAGTCCCGAGACCTTCTCCGTGTGGGCTTTAAACCACAAGCCACTAATGATAATTGGTGCAGACACTGTGGAACAGAGTATGGTGTTTTCTCAAAAAATTAAAAATAGAAATACCATAAAATCCAGTAATTCCACTACTGGGTATTTACCCAAAGAAAACAAAAACACTAATTCAAAAAGATATATGTACCCTTATATTTACTGCAGTATTATTTACACTAGGCAAGATATGGAGCAACACAAGTGTCCACTGATAAATGAGTGAATAAAGAAGATACACACACACACACTGGAATATTACTCAGAATGGAATCTTGCCATTTGAGACAACACAGATAGAACTAAAGGGTTTTAGGCTAAGTGAAACATGTCAGGCAGAAATACAAAGTGCCACATAATTTCCCTTATATGTGGAATCCAAAAAACAAAACAATCAAAAAACAAACTCTAAAATACAGAGAACAAACTGTTGGTTGCCAGAGGGAAGAAGGGTGAGGGGATGCATGAAACAGATAAAGGAGATTAAAAGACATAAATTTCCAGTTATATAAATAAGTAATATGCAGAGATGAAAAGTACAGCATGGAGAATAGAGTCAATAATATTGTTGTTGTAATTGTAATGATGTTATTGCAATAATGTTGTTATTGTAATGATGTTGTATGATGACATATATATTTATCATGGTGAGCATTAAGTAATGTAAAGAATTGTTCAATCAATATGGTATACACCTGAAATTAACATAACATTGTATGTTGATTAAAATAAATGTAAATAAACTAAAATAAATAAACTAAAAATATATAACTCAACTAAAAATAAATAAATAAAATAAAATAAAATTAGATATATGCAAATCTAAACAACAAAACTTGAGCCACTAAGCTCCTAAGACAAGTAACTCCCCCACCTCAAGACTGCTACGGTATCAGCTTATATGCTTACCACTCTGGTTCTCAATTTCTTCTCCAATTTTGCACCTTTCACTTTTACAATCATGTTCATTACATTTTGTCCAGCACTTCTATCCTTTTAAGTGAGACAATTTTCAACTATCTAGATGGCCAGATTGCCAGGAAGAAAATTCTCCAAAGCTCTTACCTTTCCATGCCTTTTCTCTTGATTAAATAATGGAGAAGGCTCAATTAGACAGTGTTCTTTCTTAAACTATTTCCAATAGCTTCCCATTACTCCTGAAGAAGATGGGAACACTCCAAGACTTAAGCTTCCTACCAAAAATAGTCATTTGAGTTGGACAACTGTGAATGGGTAGATGACAAGAGCAAGTCAGGAGGCCACTAACATGATGATTGGTTAGGAAGGCACATAATGTATAATGAGTGTTCAAAACTAGGAATATCTTGACTTCAAAATAATGGAAGGTCCTCTGTAATCAATCTTTATAATGCACAGCATGGGAAGCATACACTTATTATGGTTTTTCCTCTAAAAAATGTATAATTTAAATACACCAAGCATAAACAAAATTAAGAAATAAAATGACTTCTTTTCATTGTATTCGTATATGTCTTCATTGTTTCTGGTACTGCGCCCTGATCTACTGTGTACCGATCTATTGTTGTAAATGACCAAAAAAAAAAAAAAAAAGAGTAAGTTCTTTTCAGGAAAGAGTTGAAAGAAGAAAAAATGCTGATTTTTTGGATACTTAGAAAACATATTGTTCCAGGCAGAGTAATAATTTCTAATCAGAAAGACTAAAGAGAGGATTATCATGGAACACTTAACATGGTAAAATGGACACAAGATCGTAAGAAAAAAGACAAGAGTGTTTTAAATAGAATGAAAGCCTTAATATAAAATTAGATTTTTTTTAATGGGGGAAAATAAAAGGCTTATACAAGTGGACAACATGAGTAAAGGAACATTCTGAGTGTTGAAGGAGGAACAACAGGAACAGACTCCACTGAAAATAAAGCTGGAACATTTGGAAATTGGAAGAGGAACATCGCATACTGTCCTTAAGGACAGAGACGCTCCCAGTTGGCCCTGCCTTTCCATAAGGATAGCGTCTCCCAGCTCCAACAAGGCTGCTATGGGCACGGGGCAAGCAGTACTTTTCCACTTCCTCGGTAGTGGGCCAGGGGAGACGAAAGATAATGCAATATAGAAACCATTATGAAAGCAAGATGACAAAAGATGAGATTACAATCTCAGAGGCCAAGAACCCAGAACTGGGGAGACAGACAAGTGATGAGAATTAAGGAGCACTCTAAGGGATTTTACAAATGACAGGCTGATATTTTTCTACTTTGGGTATGAAAATGACATGCCGTGATGGCTTGCCCACTAATCACGAGATGGTGAACTTGAAAAGGACCTTCAGAGGTCATTTAGACCACCTGCTCATTTCATTTACAATATCTCTTCTCTTCTAAACCATATGACCCTCATTTTTCTAAATGTGCATATGTGAGGTACAGTTTATATATATATATTTGCATAGAGCGTTTCCTTCCAATGATACTTATTAGACCTCAGTAAACTGCTCAGGTTTAACTATATTGAAGCGATTAACCTAACAAGCATTGACACTGTTTAGAAACAATGTTCCTGACAGTTTCCAGTTTCCCGGGAACAAACATGTAGGCAAGCTTACCTTCGTGAAAGCTCGGTAACAGAGACCACACACCTCCACCAGGTAGGCCAGCGTGAAGACAGAGTTCTGAATCACAAAGCTGAGCAGTTTTGAAAATGGCTCCAACAGACTCTGCAATGAGATTGGGGCCAAATAAAATCAATTGTTGATTCTTTCATTAAAAAAAAAAAAAGTCTTAAAATCTTCTGGTACTTTAACTAACGGGATCATTCTTTCATTTAAAATCTGCTTCCTGGTAGCTGTGGAGCAACTCTGTTGGTCTAACAAGAACAGAACCGGACCTTCAATGCCTTAAAAAGCATGATTTAATCATTTTATTGCTCCAAAAAGAAATCCATTTTCCCAGGTGGTATCCTTTATAAACCTTATCACCGTCAATTCTATCCTCATGTCCACTCCCAGCAATCAAGACTCTGTGAGATTTGTATGAGGATTTTCCATTCTATTTCTCAGAATCTGTAGGTATCAATGGGCTCATCCATCCGGCTCCTCCAAAACCTGTCATCTCAGTTCAATAGCATCCTGAATGTAAGTACGAAGCACAATTAGCTTAGATAAAACTTATCCCGACCCAGCTTCCTGCCAGTGTTTATCAGGAAGGTCCAGCTTTGGTTTCTCCATCTGAATCCCACCCATAAAGGATCAGTTTTAGATCCATCTGCTCTCTAAAGTCATTTAGAAACATTTATTGAGCACCTACTAAGTAGCAGGCAGAGCTGGGTGCTTTTATATAGTTTATCTTGTTCAAACTTTTTATGACAATCCTAGAGAGACAGTTTGTTATAACAGTTAATGACACAAGCTCATGATACCACATGATTATTTTCAAACTCTAGCTCTCAGTGACCTGGAATAAGTGATTCAGCCTCTCCACACTTAGTTCTCTCCTCTGTAAAAACAAGGCTAAGCAGGACCTCCACCTCATTAGCACTGCTGTGGGAAATCGGGAGGTAATGTAGGTAAAGCACTTGGAGGCATTGAGTGCTCCCTCTGACCTGCATCAAAACTCTGGAGCTCGCCTAAGGCCATACTGCTCTTGAATAGAATTCAAATCCAAATTCCAGGGCAATTTTCCAAAGGCAGAACAGCTCTTTAGGGAAGACAGAATTTTAATTGGGCTGCAAAACACTTCCATGCCATGATTTCCACTACTTCTCAACCTCCGCAGTCCTGATGGTCTGGATTATAAAAGTAAACATGCTCAGCGTGCAAAGGTTCGATCTACAGGAAAGTACAGATAAGGAAGTAAAAGTCTGTCACCCAACCACCTCGTGATAGCACTTTACATATCTCCCTTCCTGCTGCCCTCCAGTTTACCTCATTGAAATTGTGTACATGCGCAATCCTACATTTTGTCAATTTCATTTTCTTGACACAATAACATAAGAAATCTCCAAAACGATTTAGTTCTTCATAATCATCCATTTTAATAGCCACAAATGTCACATTTCATTATAAATAACATCCCAATAAATATGTTTTGTCTGAAATTTGCCTTTTCATTTTCTTCTTTAGAAGATATCCCAGAAAAAGAACGATTAAATCAAAGGATATGAAAATGGGGGGGGGGGTCCTTTTTCCTTACTGATCCAAAAATGAACTTGTTACATGTTAGTTGTGCCTGAGAATAAGAATTCTGTACTTTATTTGTTTCTATTCCCAACAGAAACCTGTGTAGCACTTTCTATATAGAAACTCTTAAAGGAACCCTTTGAAATAGTATTGCTGATTCAGTATTCTTTGTTTTATATAAACACTGTTGCCTTGAAATATTGATAATGGATGAATGGTGACAGGACTATATCTCCAGTTGGTTATATAATGTATCTTTATTCATCAAAAAAAGGAACCTGGATTCACACCCATATAGAAACTTGTTCTTCTATCCAGCAAAGCAACATAGTGATGGGGCAATATGGTACAACAGAAAAATCAGGGAACTTGGAGTCAAAGGATCTACATTCAAGTGTCAAACCTTCCATTAACGAGCTGTGTAATCTTGGCCAAGACAATTCATCTCTCTGGGCCTGTGTCATTAGCTTTAAATGATCAGATTAAACCAAATGATCTCTTTGCAACTTTCCTGCATAAACTATTCATTTATGAAAGCACCGTCAAGGTATAAAGTTATTGGGGATGTAGTTTCTTGGTACTGAACTAGCAGTTATAAGCTACTGCTATACAGACTATTACATCGTTGTATATAACGCAGCCCAGAAAGACTGTATATAACGCAGCCCAAGAATGAGGTGAATGAAACGCAGAGCTGGCCTTCATGAAGCTCGCAGTCTCACTGGGGAGACTTTCATACAACGTAAGTGTTAGTATAGAGAGCTCTATCAAGTATTGTGGGGTCTGATATAGGAGAAAGTTGCTGCAGAGCATTCCAATTCACTTTTTTTATTTAAATGGAATTCAGATTCTCATATTGAAGAATGAGATAGAGTTCACCTCAGCAACAAGAGCATAAAGCATTTCAGGCAGAGGAAATGGCCGAAGCCAAGGCAAGGAAATATGAAATTAAATAAGATTATAAACATAAAGCAGTTAGCATAATGCCTGCCATATGGTAAGTGCTCAACAAACAGCGGTTGTTGTTTTCATGATAATGAGGATGATTCTGGAAGAAGGCAGGAGGCATGGGGGATGGGACAAGTAGCCAAAGCCGACATTAGAAAGGTAGGCCGGCAAATTAATGAAGTACCTTCTTGTATGCCACATTAGGGAATTTGGACACTCTCCTAAAAGAAATGAGAGGTGATCAAAGATGTTTAAGCAAGGAACCAGGGCAGGAAAGTCTGTGTTTGGAAGGATCGCCTAGATCATAGAGGACGGACTGGTGACCATGGCCCAGGACAAAGAGGGCCGATTGTAAAAAAATGAGATTGTGATGTATTAGAACTCTTCATACTAGACACTTTCACCATGTTCGAAAGTGAAACATTCAGTACACAATAACTATTTCTTCACTATTACTACATGCCTGTGTTTTTAGGTTAAAAAATAACCAAATAAGCAATGGGTTGTTTTTCTGGAACATACAATACATACCCTTGTGGCATTGGTAGAGGGTATCTTCAAGAGGCAAATCATAATTCTCAAGCTGGAATCTAAAGAACACTGCGAACAAATATTAAGAAAGTGAAAGTCAGTACCCTTCTTAATATATCTTTTGCTTCATGTATTTTTTATAAGCGTTTATTTTAGGGGGAAAAAAATCTCAAATATAGCTGCCTCCTTAGTTTTCTATGTCATATATTGATGTTGAAAAAAATCATTCTCAGGTTTAAAAAACTTAATTAAACTAAATATTACATTATTAAACTAAATATTAAATATTAAATAACTAATTAAGCATAGCACCTAAATTATTTCTCAGATATATTCTTAAAATTAAATCAGAGAGATGGATAAAGAATTGAACGGATGGATGGATGGATGGATGGACAGACTGACAGATAGATGGGTAAGTGGGTATCAACTATGTCCAACTCTAAAGAGATACACTAATTTATCAAAGGCCATGTTCCAGGGGAAAAAAACTACTCAGATCTATTTAAAATCATCAGGCTTATTAGTCCAAATAAGAACCAGTCTCATCTGCCCTTCCTTTGCTACTGAAAGACATGACAAAAACCTGAAAAAAAAAAAAAAGCAGTAAAACTTCTACAAGAAAAAAATTATGCCTCTCAAATGTTAGAGTTTTATGTGGGCAACGTTCTATATCAAATGTACTTTTTAAATTGAATGTACTGGTGGTGGTGGCAGGGCAGGGGGCGGGGGGAATGTTACAACAAAAATAAGGAATATTATTTAACATTGTAAACATATCACAATAGCAGGTTATAGTTGATTCCCTGCAGCTGTGCACCATACTAACTTTTGAAGATAACAAATTAAGCCAGTGGTTCTCCAAGTATAACCCATGAACCCGCAGCTTGAATTACTTAGAAATTTGTCAGAACGCAGATCCTCAGGCTAAACCCCCAGTGCATCAGAAACTCTCAGTATCAGGCCCAGGAATCCTGCTTTCAGCAAGTCCTACCGGAGCACTGACCCACACTGGAGTCTGAGAGCCAATTCTCTGAACTGATGAGAACAAACCACAGAAGGCTTTTCAACGGCTCCTTGCTTTCCCCAGAGTGTAAAAACAAAGCAGAAGATGATCAGAGGCAGTACCCAGATTGGATCTAGCAGGGCGAGTTTTTACATGAATTCTGAAAGCTTTTTACAGGTAGCTTGTAAGTGTACTATTGGTCTACTTAATCTGTTCAATACCCGCCAGAGTTCATGTGACATTTACATTGCTTTAAACCAGGGGCTGAAGACTGGCTGTTTGTAGGGTCCCCACGGTATTTTAAAAATCAGGAAATATCATCTTCAAAACCATGGGAAGAGCAGCGATAGTAGGCCTGCGTTCCCACACGACAACTGGCCGGCATGTTGTAGCACACGTTAGAAGGGACTCGTTAGAAGTAGACTCGTTAGAAGGGACTGGTGCTTCCCATTTCTCAAGGGTCTTGGTTCTCTGTATTATCGTAAATCACTCCACTCATTAACCTTGCAGTCAACATCCCTATGGGCAGGACTGATAGTCACAAATGAGGCTTACCAGTTGTTTGCTGGTGGCAAGGGTTCCAAACGGTCAGTGATCAAGTTAAAAACTTAATATAAAAGTTAAATATTTTGGTTCTAGCATCCACCTATAGGCATTTGAAATTGCCATGCCTGACCTACCTTCTCTCCAAGTGTATGGCGTTAAGCAGTGAGTAGCCCTGAGCGGCTCTTGGTTGTAGGGAGGTTCTATGGGGCCATGTTAAAAATGCATCACTTGATTTCCTGCAGGTACATGTATGGTATCTATATACATACATGGTTTCTAAGTACAGCGCTAAACCTCTTTCTTTGGATTTATTCACTGACTCAAGCTTGGCAAGCAGACACGATCACAGGATGTGAGAGACGGTAAAGATCTCAGTATTCCCGCTTTTCGTGTGAACTTTAAACTCCAAGAAAACAGCATACACCAAGCTAAGGGTCCCTGAATTGCCCTTACAGACCTTATTTTGGGGTCATATATTCCAAATCTGCTAATTTGAAAAAGGGCATTATCAAGGGTGGTTCGTCTTTATAAAACATTTTTCATACACACAATACTTATTTCAGAAATGGTGCTGCCAACATGTAATTTCACTTGTCAGATCAACAAGCGATTGATTTTATTGTGAGTTGATTATTTCTGCAATCTGCATAAAGCACAAAAGGCTTGTGGAGCAAATGAGGCTCAGAGACATAGAAATGGCTACTACCAGTCACCTCCTTTCTCCCTACCACGAGACCCGAAGGCCTTCAATTTACCCCTACCATAGTAGGACTGTAGGAGTCTGTCAGTGGAACAGATACTGAACCAGGAGTCAAGAGACTTGAGTTCTAATCCTCACACCGCCATTACCTCTCTGAATTTGCAGGCCCCCATCTGGAAAATGGGGGCATTGGAATGGGATGGTTTTTATAGGTCTCTTCCAGCTTTTATAGTATAGAGTTCTGCTTCTGCATTCAATGGGCTTTTGTTGAAAATGTTCCTTAGGTTACCAGATTCACAGCTAGGTAATTCGTGTGTATTCTTGGAGGATAGTAGGGTGGCTACAGGGTGTGGGGATGGTGATGGTAAAGCAACCGCACATAAATACAGTATCATCTTGGTCTTTCAAGTACTTTATTCACAAACACACAAACAGTCACCTCCTTTTAGATAGTTCTCTGAAACTTAGCTTTACATGGTAGGTATGTCTAGCCTCCTTTTAGACAAAACTATGCTTTTATTTACTTAGACATTTATTGAGAAATATTTCCATAATCTACTAATATCTAATTTTTAAAAATCAACTGAGAAATGTGAAATCACTATGTCAAAATGCCTACTGCATACTGCCGTAGGTTTATACCATTTGGAGAGCACAACCTACATAATACTCTGTCCTTGGTGCCTAAACACTGAATCTCTCTGAGCAGATGGTTGGCAAAACCTAAGATCCTAATTGAAATCGAAATCCCGGACTCAGCTTACCTTCAAGGGCAAGACACAAGGCAACTTGGCAAAAAATGTCTGAAACTGGTTGCTGATTGTGGTCCAGAGGCTGCTAGGCGAATCCATGGGCAAAGCTTCCATGAAGGTAGCAATGTTTTCCAAACAGCGTATCATAGCACCCCCTGCTGGTAAATTCTTTTTGTTATTTAGACCCTAAAAACACAAAAGCATAGGCAATCAACTGCGGAAACAACGTGGGGATTCAGATAGCTATTTGTCGAAGATCAGTCTTAAAAATCACATAGTCACGGTTTAAGCATGTGTGATGTGTTTATACAGGCTATTCATTGTAATTGGCAGGAAGAGTACAGAGAAGAACCAACAAATTCAGCCATACTTGGGAAAAACTGTGACCTTTAATTCCGTGAGAGAAGGAGAAATGCAAGAAATAAGGAACATCTTTTAAGGATTGCAGTTAGTGTGGTTAGTGGCTAAGAAGACACAATGAATGATGCTTGCTGGAAACTCTGCTGGCCAAAGCCTGAGCATAATGACTACAGAAGCACGAAAGTCTCTAGGGCCACCTGTCAACCCTCCAAGCTAAGTGACAGAGATGATAAGCACGGGACCAAACACATGAACCCAAGCGTTGTGACACAACGAATAAGCAATGGACCCGAGAATTGAATTCAAGTCTCGTGATGGAGCAAAGATGCAGGACTCAAATCCAATCCTCGCGATTTGAGAAATAAGCAGGAAGCTGAGACTTGATTCCAAGTCTCGCGATACAGTGTGCACCGCTCTACCCACAGCAACTTCTGAAAGCCTGAATGTTCAACGGAAGTGAGTGTGCTTAGCAGTTGCCTAGCCACCCCTGAGCTGAGGGTGTCCAGAAGCTTTAAATAAATAGTAAATACACACAAAATAGCCATATCCAGTGGACACACTTCTGTGCATTGGCAATTTTTATTTCAAATTAATTTTAAGCATTTAAATTATTTGAGATGAATTTGACATCTTTGTAACATAAATTTAGTTCTTAAATTAAATGACTGAATTAATTCCTCAGCCATGACTTCAGGAGGGGCGTAGCTTAGAGGTGTCCTCAAAGCGAACCTACCTCCAGGAGCTGACTGAGAGCAGCAATAGAGCTCAGTTCATTGAAGTCCATCAGAGACGTGGCTAAGGTCCGTAAAAAAGTCCCATCTGGAAAGTCAACAGTCAGATTTAGTAGTGTTTGGGCTTCAGCAAGCGGGCACGTTTGTGGTGGCTGGATTCCCCGTGGAGGAATTACCTTTGATAGTGCTCTGGAACAGCTGTGGGAAGATGCCGTTGGGGGCCAGCTGATGGAAGATGCAGCGCAGGAACTGCTTGGCCACCCCCGCGGCGTTGCCAGGAACCATCATGCTGGGGTCGCACAGGGAGAGAAAAGACAGGGACTCATGGAGCACCCAGCATGAGTTTAGGTTTTTCTGAACCTCCTTTTTTAGAGGCCAGGCACTGATACATCGATCCTCTTAGGGAAGATCTCCCTGTCATTTTCATCAGTGAGATGAAATATTGTAGTTACACGGAGTCCCTGTTAACAATAAGTTTCTAGAAAGAGAGAACCAGGACATGTCAGAGTGGCCCCCAACTAATGAATTCCAGCCACCCCAGAGTACAGATGAGCCTTCTGAGGCCCAGACAGAAAAGGTGACCTGCGAAGGCTCCAAGTCCAGAACACGGTAGAGTCAGGACGAAACCCAGGATGAGATTATCAGCAAGACCCTCCCAGAAAGTGTCATTAGCTAAGAGAGAGCTTGATCTGGGGGGGAATGCAGGGAGAGAGATGTTCATAGCTATTGGGAGATAGGAGAACTCTTCTTGGAGCACTTTGAGCCAGTACTTGTAGAAAGGAGAAGGCTTTCATCTATGCAGTTCTGCACCATCTCTGCTGGTCAAAAGAGGGAGCCAAGAAATGATTATGCCTCCCTGAGACCAAAGTATCAGGAAGGATGTTCCAGAGGTGATCAGGGAGTGAATTAACAGGAAGAATGCAGAAATCAAAGAGTCCAAATAGGTGAATGGCAAGAAGTCCTCTTACCTAGACCATTTGACTATGTTAGGTCTACCCTGAAATGTTGATTCAAAACTGTAGGTCAAAAACATTTCTTCATGCAACTTTGACACCAAATTCACACAAACTCTTTCAAAAATTAGGGAAGGAGAGAACTCTTCCCACCTTATTTTATGATGCTAGCATAGCCCTAAAACTAACATCAGATAAAGTCAAAACAAAAAACAAAGTCACAACAAAACCAAAGCAAGAGGGAACAAAAAAAGAAATGAAAACAAAAACAAGACAAATCAGCAGTCCTCATGGACACTGAATCCAACTATAGATAAAAAGGATGATGGTCCGTGACCAAATAGAGTTTATCCCAGGAACATAAGAAAGACGTAATATTCAAAATCCCATGAATGGAATTCAATATATTAAATAATAAAGGGAAAACTATACAGTTATTTTAATAAATATAGAAAATGCATCTGATAAATTTTACATCCATTCATGGTAAAATTACTCTTAGCAAACTAGAAACAGAAGAAAACATCCTTAGTCCAGTAGAGAATCTATGAACACCTACAGCAAACAAAATTAATGGTGAAATACTAAAGACTTTTCTGTAGCATCTTTACTATTGTACTGGAGGTCCTAGCCATTGCAATATAACAATTAAAAAAAAACATAAAAATCAGAGAGAAGGGAAACTCACTATTTACAGAAATGATTTTTTTTACATACAAATGCTTTTAGATTCCAAGAAATCTTTAAAAGCAACTACAACAACTAGTAAATGAACCCAGCTTACTACAATGTTAATATAGAAATTCAACTGCATAGTCATATTCCAGCAGCAGGAAGTTAGAAAATGAAATTTTTAAAAATTCCACTTACATTGGCATTAAAACATCCAAAATTCTTGGGAATAAATTTAACAAAAGATGTACAAGACCTCTACACTAAAAACCACAGAACACTGCTGAGAGCAACAACAACAACAAAAAAATGGAATGAAATGAGAATATATACCATAATCATGAATTGAAAGATTCAGTATTTTAATGCTGTTGACTATCCCCAATATTGTCTCGTACAATCCCAAAAGGCTCCCTGACCAAACTGAGAAACTTATTCAAAAATGTATATGGAAATTTGGTAAATCTAGAATATCTAAATCCATCTTCTTAGAAAAAATGAGCAAATTTGGAAGATTCATAATCTTGGACCTCAAGACTTATTAAATAGCTACAGTAATCAAGACAATGTGGTGCCAGCTTATGAATTAACATATCGATCGATGGAACAGGATAGAGAGCCTCGAAATAGATCAACCCAAATACCATTATTTGATTTTAACATACAACAAAGTGATCCAGTGGGGAAAGGGAAAGTCATTTTTTTTCTTAACGGTGCTGAAATAACTAGGTTTCCACATGGGTAAAAAGTAACTTCAACCCCTACCCTCACACCATACATAAAAATTAATTTGAGAAGGATCATACAAATGCTAAATATAAATAAACTTGTAGAAGAAAACACTGGAGAATATCTTCTTGATTTGAGGACGGCTGACAACAATGGGAAGAAATAGTCATAAATTTTAAACAATTTTTAAAACATTATGGGATACCTCAGTGGCTCAGTTGGTTAAACAAATGCCTTCGGTTCAGGTCATGATCCCAGGATCAAGCCACATATCAGGCTGCCTGCTTAGCGGGGAGCCTGCTTCTCCCTCTCCCTCTGCCCTTCCTTGTCCTACTCCCCTGCATGTGTGGCTCTTTCTCTGTCTCTTTTGCTCCTTCTCTCAAATAAATAAAATCTTCTTAAAAAATTTTTAAACATTAGGTTTCATCTAAATTAAAAACATCTCATCAAAATATATATTAGTAAGAAGAACAGGTAAGCCCCAGACTAGGTGAAAATATTCTCAAGATATATTTAATAAAGGACTGGTATTCAAGCAATATAAAGAAGTCCTGCAACTCAACCCAGTTAAAAATGTGCAAAAGATTTGAACAGACACTTCACAAAAGAAGATTTAGAGAGGGTCTTAAAGAGCACATGAAAAAATACTCGACAGCATTGGTCACCAGGGCAATGCAAATTTAAACTCTCATGAGATACCCACCAGGATGGCTAAAATTAAAGAGACCAACACCACCAAATTTTGGCAAGGATGTGGAACCACCGAAGTCTCATGCATTACTGGTGGGCATGCCACATGGCACAACCACTTTAAAGAGAAGTTCTGTTAGTGTCTTACAAAATCAAACACAGTTATGTAATGCCACAGTTCCATCCCTCGCTATTTATCTAAGACAAATAAAAACACTGGTTTACAAATAGGCTTGTAGAAGAATGGTCCTAACAGTTTTATCTATAATACCCCCAACTGGAAACAATGCAAATGTCCATCAACACGAGAATAAATAAACAAACTATGGGATAGTACCCAGCTCTAAAAAGGAAACAAACTATTGATAACATGCAACGACATGAACAAATTTCAAGAACATTATGCTGAGTACAAGACATCAGACACCCAGGAGCACATTCAGTACCATTCCATTTATATGAAGCGCTATGGTAGAGAGAGAAAATCAGGCTAGTATTTGCCTATGTGGGTGGAGCTTGGGAAGATGCACGAGGAAATCTTCTGGGGGTGATGGTAATCTTCTATATCTTGACAGGGGTTTTGGTCATGCAGGGGTACACATTTGTCAGAAATCAGTAAACATAATACACATAAGGTATGTGTATTCTCTAGTATGGAAACTGTGCCTCAAAGGAAAAAAAGGCTTAAACAAAATCAAACTTTAGTGAATAACTTTGCCGAAGGATATAGGAAGTATGCTAATATCTGAAATTTACTTTGAAATGCATCCAAAACTAAACAGGAATGACGGGGTGGCAGAAGGATGGAGAGAGGGTTGGATAGGTGATAAAGCAAGTAAAATGTTCACTGTAGGATCTAGGTTATAGGAATCTAAATGTTCGCTATAAAGTCCTTCCAACTTCACAGTATATTTAATATTTTATAATAAAATGTTAAGGGAAAAAGTCTAAAAGTTTTTCTATAAATGGGCATTTAAAAAGGAGTAAATATTCCTAAAAAGTTACGGAAGTGCAGTGACAACAGCGCCACCTTATGTTTGTAGTCGCTGCTACAGCTCCGCTGCCACAGATACCCCACCCCTTGGACCTCCTAGCAAGTGCCCCTGCCGCACAAGAAGGCTATACACGGTTTCCCTCTTTTATAAATGAGAAAACTAAAGCAGAGAGATAAATGTGCCCAATGTCCCAGCCAGCGCCCTACTCTCCTCTGGTTTCTTCTCCCCACTGCAGCCAGAGTCACCTTTCTAGATGCTACACACATACCCCTTGCGACTTAAAAATCCTCCAACAGCTTCCCACGGCTACTAGAAAGCCCCAAAGATTTAATATGGCTTATAGGCCCTGTATCACCTAGCAAGCCAGCCCTGCATCTCTGTGCTCTAGAAACACTGGTCTTTCGGTCATTCCTCCTACACAATCTGTTCTTTCCCACCTCGAGACCTGGGCAGATGCTTTTCCAGAGCTATTTGCACCCTTAAGTTCAAGTCGTATCTTTCAGATCTTAGTATAAATATCGCTTCTTAGGGGAAGCCTTTCTGTCCTTCCCCCTTGTTCCCACTACCCAGACGACACCGGATCTGCCAGCTCTCATGTGGGTCTCCCCATCTCAGTAATGGCACAGCCACCCACCCAGCTGTTCAGGCCAAAACCTGGGCGTCATGCTTGCCTTGCCTTATGTCTTTCTCCCACACCCAACATCCAATCCATCTGCAAATTCTGTGGGCTCGGTTTTAACAATATTTTCTGAATAGATCCTTAATGGGACCACTTCTCACTCCGTTAAACCAAGTCTTTGTTCATTTGTATCTGCCACTGAATTGGTCTCCACGCTGGCTTCCCTGTTTCCGCTCTGACCTGCTTTCCTGCATGACCTATTTTCAACACAGAAGCCGAGGGATCTTTTCAAAACACAAAGGAAGTCATGTCGCTCCTCACTCCCTGCCTCCCTCAGTAAAAGCCCAACTCTGTATAATGATTTCCCGGGACCTACCTGGCCTACCTCACGCTCACCTTGTCCACTCCTCTCCTACACTTTTCCCCACTCCTTCTGCCCCAGCCTGCCTTAGTCTTACTCCCCAAATATCCTGGACACCCTCCTGACTTACGCCTTTGCATTTGCTGTTCCCTCTGGCTGGAACCTTCTTTCTATAAATTGCCACATGGATCACTCTCTCCCCTTTTCAGGTTTTGTTCAAATACCACCTCCTCAGAGAGGCTGTCCTTGACCATTATTACATCCAAAATACACCCCCCCAGCTGTTCCGTATCTGCTGGACGTCCCTGATTATTTTGTGTAGCATTTAGCACTGAATGATATTAAATGACGTTACTGGTTCTCTCGTTGTTAACTTGCTTATTGTCTGCCTCCGCAACTGGAATTTAAGCCCCAGGAGAGTCCGGACTGGCTCCTTTGTTAATTAGTATCCTCAGTCTAGTGGTCACTCCATCAATAATTGTTGAATAAATGAATGTTATGGTCTCCCTACACGTTGTGTCCGGGGCCTTAAGCACTGTTTACAATGATAAGTTTGTGCAAATAGTTTCTTCCTGTTGGCCTCCCGGATAGACTGTAGGCCCCATGAGGGCAGGAATCATGTCCCTTTTGCCACCAATTGAAACCTAAGCACCTAGTATAGTACCTGCTACAGAATGGGCCTAAAATAAGTACGTGATGACTAAAATAAGTGAAAGCATGAAAAAAATAAAAAATTAAAAGTTAATGAGTGACAGTAGGCATGAATGAATGAATGAATGAATGAACAGAAAATGATGGAACGTTCTCTGGAACTGCAATTGAACTTAAGAACATTCCTTCCATGGTCCACACTCTGATGATTTAGAAACAGGATGAACATGCTCAGGGGACAAAAAGAAAGTGGGTTCGGACCCACTGGAGGACCTTACCTTTCTGCTTGATTAGAGAAAGTAGTACTGGATGCCAATCTAGGAAAAGTAAACAGAGTTACATGAGTATCTTAAGTTTTCACAAAGAAATGCATGAGTACTGCACTGGGAGCCCCTGTGGCCCTGGCTCAGATGGGGAGACAAGGAAAACCACTGACAATTCCACGGATCAGGGAGAGAGGGCCCACTTGGTGATCAGTCTCCAGGGTTCAACTTAGACCAGGTCCTGAGATCTGCTTTCCGCATCAAACCAGATGCTTCCACAGAGACACACACAGTTAAGGTGGTTTAATGCATCACCTGGCCAAGCCACGGACTGGCCACTGCAGAGGTTAGACAGAGAACAGAGCAGTGTTTGACCCAGTCCGTGTCTTTACATATGAACTCAACTCAAAATTCATTTCTTTGTACTCCACCTCTGAAATGTAACCACAAACTGCAAAAGCCTCTGTAAGACAGTAAAATAGGTAAGAAGGGTGTTTGTCAACTAATCTGTCAACAAACTGAGATGACATATTGGGAAGAGAAATGTATTAAGAAATCATTATATAATGTAATTTTTAACAATTATATGGTTCATACACATGAAAATATTCTAAATGTATAGCAAGAAAGAGAATGTCTAAACCCGCTAAATGGGTGGGTTTAGAAAAACATGTCTTGATCAATAAGATATTGAAGAAACAAATAAGCGGAATGCTCAAGTTCATTGACCTAAGACCACAAGCGTGCACCCAGCCAAGAATGCATCTGGAGAGGAATGGAGGGTCCAGCAATCGCCAACACAAGACACCATTCCCAGTTGCTTTGGTTAATGACACTACAATGAATCAATAAGCATTGATTGGCAAGTGAACTAAACCGTCATTAAGGGAGGAGCCAATGCAATCTTGATGGCTATAGCTACAAAATGGGCTGGATAAATTTTAAGAGGGATCGAATTAGAGAGCAAAGTAAAATCACAGAAAGATTTGGGTGATAAATGCTGAGCTTACATACGCTTGGAACAGCCTGGAAATGGTTCCTGTGGGACTAACATAAATAAACTCAGTCTTTGTAAATCCACATTACCTCATCTGGAACTGATTCAGGGCAAGGGGCCCTCAATCAGGTGACTGCTGAACCTGTTTCCTGGTAGGTCTGGTGATTGGGCTTGGGTTGCTAAGGGCTGTGGCAGCTACTTTAAAACCCCGCCCCCCACCCCTGCCGCCTCCCCATCTCTTGGCAGTCTAGCCAAAGGAGGTAGAGATCTAAATATATGTATATGTAAGCAGGCAAAAATACATCTGCTACTGTTTTGCCTTTACTTATCTTCAAAACTCACACCTTTTCATCCTAACAGCTAGAAGTGCCTGAACACAGTTTCTTCTTGTTTATGTTAAACAAAAACAAAATAAAACCCCTCTCTGTATCGACTACAACTTAGATCAGCTCTTTCAAGGAGATGGTAACAGATCAGAACAGTAATTCTATCTGTCCTAAATCTGAAAAGTATTGATGGTGAGAATTGTGGCCTTGCATTAATAAAAACTCTCAGTTCCACAAGCTGGTCCGTGTATTCCATGATTGCTATGATTAGGTTAAAATCTAGGATTGAAATAAAATATTTCATATTTTCTTCTCTCTCCATCACCCACTGTTCATCCCTGCACACTGGCTATTTCTAGGTATTCAAGGTGGTAGAGTTATACCCTGGCTCTGTGCTGGGACAGATGGAACGAAGCCCATTCATGCGGAATTCCTCCAGTCCGCTCCTATCAATTATGCACACCAGGACTACAGTTTGTTACTGAATTTGAACTTTACATATACCCATGAAATACATCACTTTCTTTCTCATGTCCTATCCACTAAATAGAATTTTCTTAATGTGAGGTAGTTAAGTTTAATCTCCCCTCAGTCTGGCTTAAAGCCCTGTTCCCAAAATAGGTCTGCCCTTTCCTTTTCTGAGTCAGAAGTATGAAACTATACTCCATCTTCCCCTCCCAGGACAAGGCCTCAAGACTGCAAGATGCTTAGAGAATGTATCTCAAAACCGGTAAAGAGAGATAATAATATCAAAATCTTATAAATAATAGTATTCTAGAAATAACATCTAAAATGTGTAAACCGTTGAACTATGAAAGGTGTACCGTTCTGAGTACTGCCCCACACATTAGCCCAAGTAACAACTGAGAGGAACCAAGAATAGTTTTCGTACTGCAGTTTCCTCTAGCTTCATTCTGACACTGTGACCTTGTGACCTGTGACCCCACACAGCTGGGGAATTCAACCCGAAGTTTGGTCCATTCCATTTTTAAAATGAGTCTGAGTTGACCCCACAAATATCAAACATCTATAAGGTTACAGAATGTTTTACTTTTGAACTGATAGCTTTTATGTCAAGGTATAGAATGCATAAGGCTCCTCCTTTCTTCCAAACAGAACCAAAGCGCTACTCACCTTCCCACGGACTGCATAATATCCAGCAGCAGTGGGGCTGCCAGGTCCGGGCTTAAGTGAATGAACGTGGAGAGGACCACGATGGCCAGCCCCAGGGTTTCCTCATCATATTCCTCAAGAATGGCCCCACAGTCATGGCATCTGCAAAGAAAACAGAGGAATGCTGTCCATGAAAGCCACGAATGGTTTCAAGATACAACAAAGTATAGAAAGCCAATTCTCAGGAGTCTTGGAAAAGTCCCCTGAAGGAGGTCAGTGGCCCCACTCTCAGAGAACATAGGGGACTCCAATGCCACCCTCCCCCTAGACACAGAAACAGCACAGAGGGCAGAGATCAGGAAGGTTCTTTAAGTCACTGAAAACGTCCAACTCACAACTGTCTGGCCTCTATGGACATGAATCATTGGTCCCTTTTACAGTGAGTGCCAGTCGGACTCACAGTTTGAAACTTCTGCTTAAGGGATTTTAGGCATGTAAAATTATTGCTAGGCATAGTCAGTAATCAGATTTTTTTTTCATTTGTTGAAATTAAACATGAAAAATGCCTAGACACAAATGGAAGCTTTCCTACACTCTCGAATTGAAAAGTATCCTATATTTGGGTGAGACATGGGGTACTTCAGCCAGGAGAACACTCTAGAAAGCCTGGGGAGTCTGGATCCCAGTCTCTTCCCTCCCACTGATTCAGATCAGAATTAGGAACTCACCGCACCTACTGAGTATAATAGGAAAAGACATAGTGGCACCAGTTCTTATGTCACTTCCAACTTACTGCTCTTGGTAGTATCTAATATAAGTTCAACATCATTCAACTGAAGCCACTGCCCTTCTACTCAGCCAGAGCCGGACAGCTTTATAAAGTGAAGGGGCGGGGCGCCTGGGTGGCTCAGTCATTAAAGCATCTGCCTTCGGCTAGGGTCATGATCCCAGAGTCCTGGGATGGAGCCCCGCATAGGGCTCCCTGCCTGGTAGGGAGCCCGTTTTTCTCTCTCCACTCCTCCTGCTTATGTTCCCTCTCTCACTGTGTCAAATGAATAAATAAAATCTTCTTAAAAAAATAAATAAAGTGAAGGGGAAGTCTACCAGGAATAGAGAGGGAACTAGAGCTAAGATCACTATTGTGAACTTTCTGTCTGGAAACTTCCCAAATACAAACATCCCTGACAAATTCACCTTAAAAAAAAAAAAATAGGATTCACATCTGTAAATAAAAAAGAAGAGAAATGAAGCGTACACAAAGATTGGGACTTAAAGGAGGACACAAAATGGGGACATTTTACAGAAGGAGGAGCCAAGAAGAGGCCTCCCCACACAGCTCAGTGCTCCCCACATGGAATTTCCATGGTAGGGAATGTCTTCAAGGCGGGCTCCTTCGCTTCTTCAGGAATGGCTGATGCTGGGGGCCCGCTGCATAGATCCTCCCACCAGCCCCTCGCACCTTTATCACAAGCCTACCCACCGCGTCACCAGGAAGTCTCCCTGGCCCAAAGAGATCTCTCCCAACTGGAAATCCCACAAATCTTATTAGTTATTATACTCAGTACCCAAGCATTTGTGTGCTAGGAAATGTACAGGGAACTCAGAGTATAAAAGACAGAAGAAAGGGTCCCAGTCCCTAAGGAACTCACAACCTGTATGTATAAACAGTGACACAATTAAAATACAATGTGTAGATGGTAGAACACAAAGACATAGTAAATACTATGGAAACTTGGTGTATGGTATGACTAATTCTGCCTTATGTGTACTCAGGGAAACTTTGCCTTCAGCTGGGTCTTGAAGCATGACTAGGAGTTTGCCAAGCAGAGAAAGTGAAGAGAGAAGGGCACCTATAAAATCACAGAAGAGACACAGGCATGTTCTGGAGAAGGTACAGGCGCTGGGGCCAGAGCTCCTGGTGAGGAGAGGTATGGCCATACCTTCACAAGCTAAAGGGCCTTTTATCATAAGCAAAGGCATCTATTTATCCTATAAGAAACCTGGGGATACCGAAGGCTGACAAACCTCAAAGTGATATAACCAGTTTGAGACACAGAGAAAGGGTTCTGCTGGCAGGATGGGAATGAGAATCAAGTCTCCATACTTAATCCCAACCTCACAATTTGAAGCTTCTAACAACCAGTAAATGGCTATGATTTGCATTTGTCCAAACTGAGAAAGGAATGTGCCTTGGCGTAAGTAGAAGCTGGCCATACAAGGATATGACGTTTCTTTTCCATTTATTTTTTTTTTTAAAGATTTTATTTATCTATTTGACAGAGAAAGAGAGATCACAAGCAGGCAGAGCAGCAGGCCGAGAGTGGGGGGAAGCAGGCTCCCCGCGGAGCAGAGAGCCCGATTCGGGGCTCGGTCCCAGGACCCTGAGATCACGACCTGAGCTGAAGGTGGAGGCTTTAACCCACTGAGCCCCCCAGGCGCCCCCGATACAACATTCCTAAGGAAACAAATGTCTACCCACACTTAGGGCCATGGCCCTTGACGAACAGGTTATGACTTAAAGCATAACACGTGCTGAGCAAACGCTCAAATTCTGTAACTCTGGTGAAGGGAAGAACCCTGTGAACTTACTTGTCCGTCATCACCGTCGGCTGCTCGTCTGTGAATTCTTCCGGCGCCGGCACAAACATGCTGACGATGCTGGGTGCGGACAGCAGGCTGGATTTCGTGGCACCTGAGTAAACAGCAGGGAGACACCTGGTGAAGAAAGGTCTGTTTCTGGGGGCTCAGGAAAAGCCCTGTCCTCCTCTCATAAACCCTCCCAGGATCACACTCATGGGATGTGATGGGATCGGCTCCACAGCATTGTGAAAAACCCTCAAGGGCCAAAGGAATTCAAGAAAGACTTACTGGTTTCAAGGATAAAATGAATTCAAGACAGACTGTGATTTGTTTCTGTTTGTGTGATTTTTAAGAGTTGGACTCCCGGGGCGCCTGGGTGGCTCGGTGGGTTAAGGCCTCTGCCTTCAGCTCAGGTCATGATCCCGGGGTCCTGGGATCGAGCCCCGCATCGGGCTCTCTGCTCAGTGGGGAGCCTGCTTCCTCCTCTCTCTCTGCCTGCCTCTCTGCCTACTTGTGATCTCTGTCTGTCAAATAAATGAATAAAATCTTTAAAAAAAAAAAAAAAAGAGCTGGACTCCCTTTGCTTCTTGACTTCAAAAAAAAAAATCAGAAAGAGTTCATTGTGCCAACAGGGGACAAAGACAACAATAGAAAAAGGGGGAAAGGTATCCAAGAGCATCCTCAAGTGAGCTTACAATCCTTGTTTGCTAGGCATACACGGGAGCTACCCTTACAGTCTCACATTTCTAAAATCACAAATGCCTACTGACCCTAAAATACTGCTAAATTGAGGTGGGAATAAGAGCTCAAACTCTACACACTTAAGCAAAGGGAGGGGTTTCAGCTAAGAAACATCACAACAGCTTTATACCTTGGAAATTAATATCATAAGCCCAAAGCAAAAGACTTCGTTTTTCAAACTGAAATTACTCGTGAATGAAAGATCAATGTTTTGAAAGAATCATCCAGTGACTTCAGCCAATCAACATCACAGAGTTTTTTAAAACTTTGGGTTTTGATGGCTTCAGAGAAACCTAAGGCAGGAATCTTGGCGACATGCTCTGGCAATGAGTAAACCTGGAGAGCCAGGGGGTTGTTCTCTACCAAGAAAACCACCAGTGCCAGACAGAGGCAGGAAAGAACACAGAAAAACTCAGTGGTCATTGAAGAGTCTGTTTCTCATCAAGGAACTGGAAATTTAGTGTTAAAAAACAAAATAAAATTATATGATCTTTCCTTAAATAAGAGAAAGATTCAGATTCAGATTCAGAAAACCGGCTTTTAAAGGAAGTAACATCAAAATTTAGAAACCTAGCAAAGTGGGCAATGTGTTTCACTCTGACGGAGAAAAAAATTGTACTGAAGCCTTTCAAGAATCAAGATACCGCCAGACTATATATTCCCTTGACAGATCAAAGGCTCCAAAGTGTGCTTATGAGAAGCAGGAGATCTGCAGACTCAAACAGCAAGGAAAGTATCTAAAAATATCTTTATGTCACTTCCTAAGATCCCCAGTGGGCATCTATATTCTACTACAATATTTACCAGCTATCTCTGACTAACACTCGTTCCTACCTGTACCCCAGTTTATCACTAACAAGGATCTCCAACTGTTTCATCAAGATGATGCTTTGAGTGGAAGCAACAGTATTTATTACAAGCGTAACTATACTTTGATTAATAACAGAAAAGGCAAGAACTGGGCCAAGATCAAAGGAGACATGTTTAATTCTTAAACACTAAGGTAAACAGCATGAAGTTGCTTCAAGCAACCAAAACACAGAAAGTTTAAATCTAATATTCCATATTTCTTGAACATTGTCAGACCATGTCTACCAGATGCCAAAATGTCTATGCTGAAAGTGGAAAAAGTCAGCCCAAAGATGATGACATATATACAGTCTTACTGGAAACAAGGCACTGAAAGGAAAAAAAAAATATTCTTGAGTTAAGTCTTTCAGAAGATTATCACCAATTACTATTAAACAGAATTCACAATTCAAGTCAAGAAAAAGGAAGGAATCAAAGTCATTTGGGTGGTTTCAAGCCAATAATTACCCAATACAAATGCCAAGAAACAGATATTTTTGACAATAATAGTACTGTGGAGTTGTTTATTCACATGACAACACAAAACATGTCATGCAGTATTTAAGGCAATCCTCTATAAAAGTTGGGGGGTGCTGGCTCCCCATGGCAACATTAGCTAAATTGCTGGATTTCTGAATATGGAGAATCATCTGGGAGCAGAGCAATGGAGACACAGAGGGTAGGAAATGCAAAAGGAATCTACACACTTCAACTACCTCTTGTTCTCGCTGAGTTACAATGAAACCTGCAACATTAAAAGCAGTCCCATTATCCCCCAGTTGTGGGCAATACTTCTGACGGCACCACTACCCCAAGTGTACTCTGTATGGAACCAGGAACAGAAATAGAAGGTTCTTAGAAGCTTGAATAAAGAGGGGACCTCCTCCAAAATCCAGCTCCAAAGCCAGGGATTTTTACCAAAGCTCCTTTGGGAATCTTAGAGATAGGAGGCATTGTAAATGTTTTGGTTTGTTCAAAGGATGCGAGCGCCCATCCGTCCTTAGCTGCCTCAGTGGATTTCCTCAGTTTACTGTGAAAGCGACTTTGTCTTTCTGCTTTTGTAGTCACTGGTTCGTGGATAAGCAAGCACTAGAGCTGTTTGACCAATGACTTCTGCTCATAAAAGCTTTTCCTCGGCCCATAAGTGAGAAGAGTCTCATCATCTACAGGGGTTAAAACTGCTACTCATTGCCCAGTAAATGTCAGCAAAAGCTGAAGATAAATATCTCCTCATTTCCGAGGAAAATCAGAAGAGCGGTAAGGTCCTAAATAATAAGTCTGTTTGATTGAGGAAAGTAGCTAAAAGAGGCGGTCATAATTCATTTTTGGTTTTTGTGTTTTGTTTTTTGCAAAGGATCGCTGAAGCTCCTTTCTGAATTAAAAAAGAACAAAAGTAATGATTAGCCATGAGATGAATTTTGGAAAATACACATTCTGATGATCTTGGCGCAGATTTATACTCACTCAGCCTACTCTAACGGGCAGCATAATCCATGAGTATATTTTGTGCAGTTTCAGAATTTAGATTTCAAAGAAGCTATTCAACTATGATACCAACATTCTAGAATGAACCCAGATAAGCTGGACCATGTTCAGAGAAGATACACAATAATATGGATGGCTGGTCTATATTAAGAGGTATGTCAAAGGACCCAGGGACATATGGTCTTGAGGAAATAAGTGAAATGTGGCTATTTTCAAACGTTTAAAAAATTAGGTGAGAGGCTAGACTCATTTCAGGTGGTCCCAAACAGAAAGTCACAATAAGGAAGAACTTTCTGTTGATAATGTACAAAGAGGAGATGTCGTGCATTCCCAGCCCCTGGAGGTGTTTGAGCAGAGGTTGGATCCACTTCAAAGAGCTGCTCAAGAAGAGATTTCGGCAGCTGCTGGGAGACCAGATGAGTGACCTATACAGTGTCTCTCAGCTCGCGCGGTCTGAGATTCCACAACGCAACTCACCTCTCATTCTCAACGGCTGTCCCTCCAGGTCAGGGTTTAGGCACATGGGCACGTTGCACTGCCGTTTCCCGGGCTGTATCTGTTCTGTGGATAAAGAGAGCATTTCAGTCTTCAATGCGGTCAATTTAGCACAAGTCACAATACAAAGAATTTAACCAATAACCTTGTGGGGCCATTTTGGGGGGTCACTGTTGTTGTTGATTATTAATACGTATAGGAAACATCCTAGATTTTCGGGTAGGGTTGTCTGGGGTTTCACTACAAACCTGCCAGTCAGGTATATGCAACGTAATTAAAAGCAGGAGAGCATGAAAGTATCTAAAACTGTCAAAAAAAAAAAAAAGTGTGTATTCACTACCTCCCCACCAAGAAAGCTCAAATACCATTACCTCTTGATATGAAATGAAAAAACTGAAAGGCTAATGTCACAGCCATGAAATAAATGTTTTATGCACATCAGTAAATATTTAAGCAACCATTTGGGGCAATAGCCAGAGAGGTCATACAGAAAACAGGTGAACTGGTGGCAAGGAAATGGCAGGTGTCTCGCTGAGGGCTGAGGGACAGGGGTGAGGACAGGGGTGAGGTCAGCTACTGAGAGCTGAAGGACAGGGGTGAAGGACAGGGGAAGACACGGAGGAGTGGGGCTTCTGGAACATCTGCTTCCTATGAAAGATGAGACAGAGAAGCAGCCATCAGATGAGCACGGATGGAGAAGAGGTAGGTATCCGGCGAGCAAGCAGGTGCATGCTGAGGTGAATCAATCATAACCCGTGTTTTAGACTGCCTCTCGCAGTGTCAACACAATTAGATTTGTCCCTTTGCAGACCATGAGTCACCGAATCGACATATGTGTTATAACGCGTCATGCCACCTAACACTGACTTACGCATTCATCGACTTTCCTGTGGTCTTAGATTTGGGGAGAACTTTTCGTGGCACTAATCAAACCTAGAGTATTGAGATGAAGCTCTAGTAGGACTTGGTGACTAGAGAACCAACTTGGAGAATGGAAAACAAGTCCAGGAAAACAGGTGAAAGATAATTGCACAGTATGTAAATGTCAAGTATTAAGTGAGAAACCAGAGCGACATGAGTTTTGTTGAATGTGAAAAATTCAGTTAAATGGGTTATTTGGCATCATGTAGACTCTGTTTTTAGATTAAAATTTGGTTTGGAAATTGAGATCTATTTGCCTTTTTATAACTCTACTGAGTCAATCAAACTAGTTGGCAATCATAATCCAAATCTGAAATGGTTAGCTTAGGCTGAGCTACTTGCTATAGAAAATAGAAGCATGGTAAAACAATCTTTGGAGCCCCAGGTCAACCTAACAAAAGGTGGGCATTTAATTATCAGAGAACTAACCAAATAAAGGCTCTCACCCTCCGTTCCTCACATAGCTTCATCACTAAATAGAGAAACAGAGTCAGCCCTCTTTGGTGTGGATGGAATGACTCCACCCAGACCCCTTAGCTGTTGAGGTTGGTTACCCTGTCTTTCTCCTTGACCCTTGCCTATTGGCTTTCGGACATTCCATTATTCACTACCACTTATCACCAAAAGGAAGACACAACATGAAACCTTTAAACATTAAGAACCCTTATAAAGGCTGGAGAGTTGAAACTATCTGTCAAACATAGGATTGGGTATTTTTGTGTGTGATTTAATTATCTAGCTCTCCTTTTTGAAAAAAACAATGGATGGGGAGATAAGATAAAATGTATGTCAATATTATGGTTTTGAAAAAAAAAAAGTCTGTCGATAGTTTGGTTTTGTGGACGTCACAATTCCTGGTCATAAGGAAAGATATTACAGTGACAAGCTCATAGAACTATGGCCAGAAAGTACTAACCAAGATACCGAAATAGTCTGATCCAAGTGTTGGCCGCTAGAACCTATCACATAACAAACTGTGGCATATTCGTAGCACACGCGTGTTGCAAAGGGCTTCTGCATGTGTAATCTTGCAACTCAAATGACCCATTTAATTACAAAAAAAAAAGAAAAAAGAAAAACCAAACATGAAAGGCAGTCATTCCAGAGAACAGCATTGTGGCAGGACTACCGGCTTGGAAAGGAGTATGTGTGCAGAACGCGGGAACAAGGTTCAGAAAATGCAGAGTGATCATGTTTAAAATAGACATGTCGTGGTGATAAAGTCTTACTTTAAAACTGAAGTAAGATGCAGTCCCACCATATAAGCATGAGGGTGTGCGGCTGCAAGCTGGTCACCCTGCTAACTAAAACACAGAGCTCATATTCCCAAACCTACTGGCAGATCACGACATCACTAAGCTGCAATCGTTAGTATTACTATTAATATGCCCTTATTTGGGGGGATGCTTCACAAAACAGAGACTATTGATAATCTGGTGTTTTTTATTTTGTTTCTGGTTTTTAATTTGCATCATGAAATCACAGATCTATTCCCTCCTTATGCATTGATATCGCTTAACCCCAGAGAGATAACCTAGCCTCTGGAATCTGGTCTTAGACGACAAAGACTTGGACCAGCCCCAATGGACAATGAGGTGACTCTGGAACACTTGGAAAGTTTAAAGAGACTTATTCATCACCTTCAGGTTTTGTTTTTTTAATTACTTGAACCACAGAACACAAGAGAACATCTAATCCTTCACACGAGAGCAGAGGGGACACAAAGAAAGTGGCATTTAGCTAATCTGAGAGGTAAAACAAGAAGAAAAAGCTTGACCCACCAGTGTCCCAGTTGCTGATGTTATGGGGGGCGCTAGACTGATGTTCCAGCTGTCGCTTCATTAACTGGCTCATTGTCAGAGCTCCCAGGGATCCCCTTTTCATCTGCCTATACTGAGCTATATGGAGGAAATTAGGACATGATTACTAGGGGGAATAAATTTCCACTGCACACAAAGGCTCTACAAATCCATAAAGAATCTTAGATGAACCTTCATTGGCTATTTGCAATTGCTCCGTAAATTGTATGCTCCCGTCCAAGGGGAAAACTAAGGCACACTGCTCTTCCAGGTGCCTTTCTTCCCTCAATAAAGAATGAAAGAGTGCCTATGAGCACTTCTCTGTACCCGGTAAATATTTACTCCAGTTACAACAATATGATTACTTTCATTTACTTTTTTTATTTATATACTTTATCTCATTCCAAAAAGGATTCAAGGCATATAATACTAGCTTAACTTTTTTTTAATGGGGTTTGTGCATACATAGTTTCAGGCTTCATTATATCCCCATGAGGTCCGTGTGTGTGTGTGTGTGTGTGTGTGTATTTTGGAGTAAAATGACACATATCAACCCCAATTTTTTGAGAAAGAAATTAAAGTAGGTGATATGGTATTACTTGGGAACCAACTAGCAAATGAGGTGGTCACAGAAACCGAAACATGCTGAAGTGTCCAAAGTCAATACTATTTTTAATCTCTATATGAGCCTCTGCCTACTGTTTGGGAAATGTGAATTGAATCACCTTCCACAAGTGTGTTCTAGTACAAATCTTTGTTTTAGAGAGCAATGGTAACATTTTATCCTGCAGTTAAGCATTGACAAATATCCCACCAATGAAATGTCAAGTTATGAGCATTTCCAAACCAGAAAAAAAAACAAAAACAAAAACAAAAAAAAACCACTTCTACCAGTAGACCATTGGGTAAAAAAGCAACCTGTCTCCTGCCCTCCTATTCCTCTGAGAAAGAGCCCCATCAGTCCCTGACTCCAGCCCCGTGAGAAAAGCAGAGAATCACTAACGTGACTTTCCTGCATGATCCCAAACTCCTGGACGCTGGAGAGTATGTGGTTATTCACTCTCTTAGGAGGACAATTTCAGAAACTGAAGTTCTTTAAGGACATGCTCTATGAGGGGATGGTAGAAACCGGATGATTGTATGGCCCCTGGAAAGTCTTCAATGTTATATATAGGTTTCACAATCACTGTACCAAGACACTAACTCAGTGAGATGTGAAATCAATTATAACATTTTTAATGTAATTAGCATGCTGTTTGATTCATGGTAGTCACGGCATGGTTAGCTAGCAAACTGATCCAAAGAGGGGAATGTGACGGGAATTCTTGTGTCTTGGAGTCCATGTTGACTAAATTCACAATAATGGCTGCGCCAACCAACACAGAAGATCTCTGACTCTTGTTGACTGGTGAAATTTACAGTGTTACGACTCACTTAAAACAGTGCAACTTCAGGTCAAATGCAAAAGCAGAAATCTTGTATGAGACTCAACCAATTTAAAAATGAGTATGCTCAAAGGAGGATTTAAAACCTCTAGTGATTTCATAATTTCTCCGATTCTCAGTTGTGTGAAGACAGCACAGTTCCCTGAGAGTAAAAACCCTTAACCTTCAGCTCAGCGTGTGAGGTGCCTGGCATGATGCCTCCAAGAACACACCACCAACATCCATCCAATGCATGCTTTTAATGGAGAGGAGGAGGAAGGTGGAAATCTAATGATGTACTCTGCTGACTCCAGAAAAGCAAGAGTCAGTCATGACTCTAGGATCATGAGACATTGGATACGCTTATTTCATGACACATTTAACTAGCACTGAAGTCCGGCTGACTTAGTCACCCTATCTCAAATTACACCCACTTGGAATTCTGATTAGAATTCACTATCTTCCTATTTTGGGGGATGATTCATATAAATAAGGAGGAGAAAATATACCTTCATGATTCTAGTATGGGGGCTTACCAATGGGCATTCTATCATGTTATTAAACAGATTTTTATGATACAAGAACAATTAAATCCAAAACTAGCTGTTCTTCTTTGCTACCAAAAGGGCAAGTAACTCTCACTTGAAAACACTTTCTTAGAATTTCTATAATCTCTATTATAAGTGAATTTGAGTTATTCTAAGGCAGTGTGTGACACCAAAAAAAGAGCACAGATTTGCCAATCAAACAGACCTGATATCAATCCCTGTCTTTGTCACTTAGTAGCTACCCAACCTTAGGCAAGTCATTTAGCCTCTCCAACCTCTGTTTCCTGGTCTATAAAATGGGGTCACTAATATTTGCCATGCAGGGCCGATGTCGGGACTGAGTAAAAGAACATGCGTGTAACCATTTGGCACAGTGCCCAGCACATGGTAAGTGTCAAATAAATGGGAACTATTATTAACTATTATGACTATGAACTCCTCGAACAAGGGGTATCTCTTATTTTTTCACCTCGGATCCCCAGTGGCAAGCACAGTGCCCAGCACCCAGCAGACACTTAATAAATAGTTGCTGAATGAATGAATGCATGAATGAATGAATCATGAAGATGACGACGTTGTTCCATACTATCAGTCCAGCATTTGAGCTAAGATCTTTATCTGGTTTTTGGAATCATCCTCATTTGAAAAGATGGTCAAATGAAAATTAACTAGCTCCTCATGCAGCGTCTATAGGGAGCACAAAACTGACCAGCAGGTGGCATGAGGGCTTGCAGGAGCTGTGCCTCCGTATTGCTGACTCCTACTGAGAACCTCCCAAGCTAAGGTCTCTCAACGGGTCCACTGAGGCAGGTGGACACCCTTACCTTCACCTCAACAGAACTCACACTCCTCAAGGACAAAATCTAGGACCCAACCACAGAAGGCAGTTTCAAAATAGTTGCCCCCTACAGATCCTGTAAAATTTCATGCCATTTTTATTTTCAGATCCAAAAGGACTGGATTCCATCATGACTCTGGGATCATGATCTATCTGTTATATTTATTTTGTGATAACGTAGATAAGGTTTTTTCACTGATAGAAGTGATTCAAATAAAACAAAGGGGTTCAATGTAAAATTCTGTCGTGAACAATGCTTTTCATTTATCCCAGAACTAGTTCCAAGCCTATGTTTGAGCTACTCATCAACAACGCTTATGTTTTTTGGAATTATGAAATTCAGTGATTATTCCTTCACAGATTGGGATTCTTGGCCAATCAGTAATGGTACTGATGTATCAAACACTTGAGATGTTGACAGAACTGAGCCTATGCTTCAGGATCCCTGAGTTCTTACTACCAAGTGTCCCCCAGGAAGGTAGCATGACGTATATAAGAAAAAACCCTGACCCCAGGAGTGTGAACATTGAAAACAATGTGGCACGTATTGTTCCAAAATCAATGTAAAGGTGAAAAGATCACCAAGGGAATTCTTACTTGATATTGAGGAGTGGCTGCTTGTTTCTGGCACACCAGCTTCTAATGTAGGGGCAGATGAGGATTCCCGTGGCATTTCCAAAGTTGAAAGTCCTTTAGTAGAGGGATCTACAAACAGAAAATATTATTTAAAGCTCAAAACACTGATGAAAAACAAGTTCAAGAACCTTCTCCATATCTTTTGCTTCCCAACTAATACACCCATTCAAATCATTCTGTATGTTCTGGCCCTACCAATTACTTTAATGGAATTATATACATGCTGGTTTCCAAATTCCATCAGAGGTGTTTCCCCATTACATTCTGTATCTGGGGCTATGCCTCTCAGAGATTAACAAAAGCACAGTTCCAGAGCTAAAGCCTGGAGCCAGGCGCTTCACTTTTCCAGAACTGAATTCATTTTCATCTGTTACCTAAAGATGCTTACAGTTCATTCCACCTACATCATTCCACCACTCCACCTCTTGCTGGCAACTTGTTACTCATTAATTACATCTCAATTATACAGACAGTTCCTCCTCCAGAAGGTCTTCAAGGAACTCCCCTTCCCCCCAAAAAATACAAACGAAAAAAATGGGTCATGTGATCCTCTTATGTAATCCCAGGACACCCTGTCCTTAACCTTTCCCAAACTCAACACACTCTAATGTCATTATCTATTGACTTGTCTAGAACCTGTGCTAAGCCATAAGTAATTTAGGAGCAGGCTCTTTCTAACTTAGAATAAATACAATGAATGCAGATTTTTATTATATTAGGTGAGCAAGAAATAGACTGTATCATTTGCTCCTTCTATTTGGCAAATGTATCTAAGAAGAAATATTTTCTGCATACACTACTGTCTTATGAATTCATCAACAATGGGAAACAAGCTGTCCCACACTATTCTAGGTAAAGATTGTTCCTTTAAAGCTCTGAGAAACAAACTAAGCGTTTTGGAGGGGAGGGGGATGGGGGAGTTGGGTGAGCCTGGTGGTTGGTATTAAGGAGGGAACGTATTGCATGGAGCACTGGGTGTGGTGCATAAACAATGAATTTTGGAACACTGAAAAAAATTTAAATTAAACTGAAAAAAAAAATTTTACAAATTTTAATGGTTTATCATAGCATTCCCCTGCCCCCAAATTCTTCACAAATCTCCTGGCCATCTTAAGCAATACTATACACTGAACAGATTGAGGTGCCTGGAGTTACCCTATAGGTGTCCACGAATGTCCCATGTTACTTGGGGACACCTCCCTAAATGGCTTCAAGTTCTCAAGCTTCACGGTGATTCTGTCTCATTCTTTTCCTATTGCCAATTATTTTCCTGTCACAGAGCAAGTCACCATACATCCATGCACACGCACAAACTGAAGGATGGAGATGTTATTCTGCCCTTGGATGATCACTATAGTTGTCAGAAATAAAAGTAAAATCAACCTTAAATGAGAGGCTGGGAGGAAAGCTTCCAAGCACTGATGCTGGAACATCCAGTGTTGATTCTCAGACGTCTTTCTGAATGGATATGGTTGCCAGAATAACCATTTTTTGATGGAAAAAAAAAGTATAACTGTTTCCTGAACGCTCTGGAGTAAGCACAAAATAGCAACCTGTTTTAAATGAACTTAGTCACTCAGATATCAGAGGTTAGGCTATTACTTTTCTCTTAGGTATTCTCCCCAAACCACTAGTTCAAAACATACACACACAAAAAAAAAATTAGGATTAAATAAATAAAGACATGCACAAATCACCTCTTTTCACCCTCACCTGCCTCTGTTTCATGTATGTCACTCCTAGGGCATAATATTCTCACCAATAATGTAGAATGAGAAAGCTTGAAGCTCATTTTCTAGAATTCTTTGAAAGCTCATTGAGATTTTTAGAGTTTTGCTAGGCTAACTAAAATCTTTGCTGTATCTTTAATTTTAAAGAAATGCCATTACTATAAGGTACTTGGTAATAATCATTAGTGTACAAAGATTCCATATGCCAGGCAATTTTTGCTCAGTCTTAAATCATTCTATGAAACCTTCCATTTGTATACAGTTTAAGACAACAAAAATTGGAATAAACCTATACCTTAGCTTAAAATACTTGTATTCAGTTTTATAGTGATGTGCAGAAAATGTTATAATCATTCATTCATCAGATATTTGCCAAACCTCTTCTAGGCACTTGGGATACAATGTGTGAACAAACGAGGCAAGAATCCTTTCATTTTAGTGCGGAGAGACAGACAATAACACACATAAAAGTAAAATTGTATGTTAGAAGAGTAATTCTCTGTAGAACAGAGACAAGAAGGGATTCCAAGATAAAAGACAGGGGTGAAAGGCTGGGGTGTGGTCCAGGTCTTACTGGGAATCTGGTGTTTGATCAAAGGATCAACAGAAGGGAGAGAGGGAACAGGCAGACACATGGGGAAAACAGTTTCGGGCTGAAGAAGCAGCCAGCGCAAAGGCCCTCAGGTGGAAACATGCGGAGAGTGTTTCAAGAAATGGCAGGGGCCGCCACGGCTGTGTGGAAGCAATGAGGCAAGAGCAGCACACAATGAAATCCGAGAGCTAATGAGAATCAAGACCACAGAGCACTCCAGAAATATCAAGGACCTGAGTTTTTACTATGAAAGAAATGGGGAACCAACTGGGAGTTTTAATCAGAGGAATGCTATCGTCTCGTGTCTTAAAGGGTCACTCTAGCTGCTGTGTTGGGAAGATAGGACGAAGGCAGGGGCCCAGTTAGGAAGCTACACTCACTGACCCGGTGAGAGGTGTGGGGGCTCAGAGCAGAGTGGAAGCAGGAGATAAAGTAGGAGGGGACCAGATTCTGGATATATTTTGAAGGTAGATTAAGGTGACCAGACAAAATGGAGGATGCCCAGTTAAAACTTGATTTCAGATAAACAGCAGATAACTTTTTATTATGAGCACATCCCATGTAATACTTGATAGACACAGCTCCAATTCTTCACCCCTCCCTGAATCCATGCCCTTTGCCACGTGACCTAGAAGTTCCCCTCTCATAAAAGGCAGGGTATATTTCCCTCTTGACTTTGGGTTTGGCCAGGTGATTTTTTTTTTTTTTTTTTGGTCAGAGACAGAGGGAGAGAGAATGAGCGAGCACAGGCAGAGAGGCAGGCAGAAGCAGAGGGAGAAGCAGGCTCCCTGCCGAGCAAGGAGCCTGATGTGGGACTCGATCCCAGGACGCTGGGATCATGACCTGAGCCGAAGGCAGCCGCTTAACCAACTGAGCCACCCAGGCGTCCCCAGGTGATTTGTTTTGGCTAAAGAAATGTTTACAGGCATACCACGACCAAAGGCTTGGAAAGTGCCTGTGCAATTAGACTTGATCTCTTGTGCCTTTGCCATCACCATGAGAAGATATTCACAGGCTTCAGGGGTCCCAGGGAGGTTAGCCACCCATCCCAGCTCAGCCTAGATTAGCCAATCCAGTGACCAAATGGACTTACCATTACATGTTGTTGAGATGTTGTGCTTATTTGTTACACAGCATTATTCCAGCAGTAGGCAACTGAGTAAGTTGTCTCAGCATTCAGACAATATGTAAAATCATGAAACCAGATGAGATCACCTAGACAGTGAGTGTAGACAGAGGAATGAGACCCTAGGACACTCCCTCCTTAGGGAGATAAGGAGGAACCAACAAGAGATTGAGAAAGAGTGACCACTGAATAAGCAGAAAACCAAGAAAGTAGGGTATCCAGGAAGCCAAGCAAAGTGGGGAGGTAAGAGCTAAGAACTGACTGCTGGAGGTCATTGGTCACCTTGACAAGTGATGTTTGGGCAAACCACTGGAGATGAAAACTTTTAGGAATGATGAATTCTTTTTAGAAAGAACAGAATGGGAGAAAATTAGAGATAATGACTGTATAGGCAACTGTTTAATACATTTTGCCAAGAGGGGAGGAGCAAAATGAGATAATTGGAAGAATCAGGATCTAGAACATTTTTTAAGAGAGAAATAAAATCATGTTCATATGCTCAAGTCAAGAATACCTTGTGTGGGAGGGGGGATAACAGGGGTTGGGAGAGAAAGAAGGGAGAATTTCTGGGCCTATATCCCTGAGTAGGTAAAAGAAATGGAATCTTGTCAACGTGTGGAAAAGCTGGCTGTAAACAGTAAAACTAGACAGTTCGCCTGTAGCCCCAGCCAGGTGTACAAGTGCAGATACTGGAAGGCAAGCAGATGAGGTAGTAGGAGGCTGTGGAAATTTCTGCTGATTATGTCAAACAGGAAGAGTTATCAGAAGTTTGGGAAGACAAGTAGCCATGAAATGGTCACTCAGGAGAATGGAAATAGGAATGGACCAGGGAAATACAGTATTGTGGCCAGGTAGTTTAAGGACCCAGCTGGGATTTATGGTCACGATTTTAAAATGAGACCAGTCAATACTGTTATGTGATTCTCTCCAGTCACAATCACCGGATAAGCACAGGTGCATGTAGACGGAAAGGTGGATCTGACAAGGCGTGTGTTTGGCCAAGCAGGTCTGAAAGAGCAAAGGCCAAGAGGGTGCAGGGAGGACTACACTCATTGACGAGTAAAGAAGAGGAGAGAAAACGCAAAGTAGGGGAAGCACATGAAAGGACCAATACAGAGCTGTCCCGAGAGAGAGGAAATGGAAACCAGAGGATGGGAGGCATGAGAACGACATTGTGGAAAGGCTGCCCTTGTTGCTAAAGACAAGGTCTGCATTATGACTATGGGAATGAATCACGGAGGGTGAAGGATAAAAACAAAGTCACCAGAGAAGATGAGTTCAAGGAACTGAGAAGCTAGAGCTTCAGAGGGGTCGTCCACTCTAATACTGGAGTCAGTAAGAATTCAGGCAGAAACAGTTTAGACAAGAATGAAAAAAGAGCCAGGAGTCAAACTGTCACCAGATAATTGTCCTCAGGGGTCAGTAGTATGAGATTCAGAACTGGATTTTTTTTTAAGATTTTATTTATTTATTCGACACAGAGAGAGATCACAAGTAGGCAGAGAGGCAGGCAGAGAGAGAGAGGGGGAAGCAGGTGCCCCGCTGAGCAGAGAGCCCAATGCGGGGCTCGATCCCAGGACCCTGAGATCATGACCTGAGCCGAAAGCAGTGGCTTAACCCACTGAGCCACTCAGGCGCCCAGAACTGGATGTTTTTAGAGACAAGGTGGGAATGTTCTAAAAGGGGCAGCAGTGAGCAAGGAAGGGGTCTACCCCTCACCCAAGCCCAAGGGCACAAGGCAGTGAGGAAAGCAGGGTCCCTGGGGGAGAGCTGAGTTTCCGCTAGACTAGGGCGTGAAGGGAGTCGTCAGAAGAGAGAGCATATACGGGATTTTGCTCATGAAGGACGGAGGAAGAGTTCAGTAGTTAGCGTAAAGTAGGACGAAAGTTCAGAACAGAAGATGTGCAGAGCCTTATGGAAGTTAGAAGAATGACCTGGGCCTTCCTTCAGGGACTGACATGAACAGAGGGACGTGCAGTGTAATTGGACCTCGTGGCTCAAGGCAATCAGCAGCAGCAAGGCTCTGAGTTTGGAAGGACCAGAAGCCGTAGCTGTCTGGGCCTCCCTTTACTCTAGCGATAGAGGCAAGAGGGTCTAGAGAGGCCTGTGTCTTCCTCTGAGCCCAGGCCTTCTTCCAGCACCAGTGAGGGAGGGACGGTAGGTCAGTGTGTCTGTGAGAGCTGGGACACGATACAGATACAAAACTATTCTGACAGAATCACATATATTATAAACATTTTAAAGACATATTATCATAATTATCAGATGCTTTCCTCTTGTTCTGATAGTAAGTGTATTAATAGGAAACCAATCTCTTCCCCGGTAGCCTGGGGAACAATCTGACATAGGATGGATAAAGGAAGCAATACACATACACACACACACACTACGACCTATATACCGTGCACACCCACTCTGTAGACCCTGGATGGTTTCTTATGTATCCACCCTCCAGACCTCTAGAGTCTCGAGGTCAGCGCTCTCCTCCATCTATACGTAGACATTTTCCTGGCTCCAAACCATAAAAAGGTATTCCGGTTTCCCTAGAAACCGTCTTAAACTTTGTTATCACCAGGTTCTTCTTCTCCCACCTGCCTGGCTGGAGCACGACCCTTTCCAAATATACCAACATCCATTCAACAGATTTTTCCAGAACACCTGCAAGGTACACAGCTCAATGCTAGGAGGGAGAGAGCCGCTGAGACTCTCAGGGGATGCCCGGGGCAAGTAAAAGATCTGAATCCCTTGTCTTGGGAGTTGCTTTTGTGTGGAGCAGTGGGAGAGGAAGGACTAGAATCAGGACAATCGTCCTGGCCCTGTGACTGTCTGGTCATGGGACCAGGCACATCACTTCCTTAGAGCGCCTGTCTCTTCTCACAGAAAAGGATGGGTTTTCCACTACAGGTCTCCAAGTCTCCGAGATCTTTGCCAGTCCTCAGCAGCTCACAGGCTATGCACCTACTACACTGATCATTTCAAGACAATGTCATTTTTTCTAAAGAATCACAGTCTTCTTTTTCTTTAGATCTGAGCTGACACAAAAAGTGTTGAGATCAGCGTCATGGGAATACTGCAAAAGACCGTTTGAGGATGTATCGGCTTGCTGCTTTTTCAAATTATCTTTTTTAAAAACTGTGCCTCCAAGCAAAGGTGAGAAATGAGAGCTGAGGCAGGAAATCCATGAGCTGTGACAACTTCGCCATCAGGCGGTGCCCATGGATAAGGGTCTAGGTGGCAACTAGGGTTTTTTGGACACACAATGTCCACCAGACTGCTGACATTCGGTTAGATTCTGTCATCTGCTGTGGACCCCACAGGATTATAGTCGATTCTCAACCATTCCAAGCAATTTTTGCTTTATTTTAGCCCTTCATGTCTGTTCCCTTCTTTGGACAATGTATCAACGTTGGCTAAAGTGTGGAAAAACAAAGAAGGCAGAAAGAGTTCAAATTAATGACTTTGCTGTTTGAGGAGGGCTGAGATGGTATCTGGGCTAGCTTGATAAGAATTAACCACTGCCTCCTAGTGCCGAGGATGGTCAAGGATGGATCGTTAAAGGTTGCGAAGCAACAAACACGGAAACGTTTATGGAACCCGTAGAACCACATCTGAACCCAGCACGCTGCGGTAAGCGGGAGGGTTCAGAGTGACTCTGAGGCGATTATAATGTCACTCTCTGACATTATAAGATAGAGAGCATATAAGAGCGACGCATACTCAGTGCGGAGACCTGCATGAGAAAGATGCACAAACCTGCGCGTGAGGCTGGGAGGAATAAGGGGGATGAGCTTACCTGGGTCTTTCTGTTCTCCCAGCTTGTCCAGAATGTTGAAGGAGATGTCCAGATACTCTCTCTGGATGGCACTGACAGCGATCTTGCGCTGTTTCCTCTGCCTGGGGACAATCTGGATCTTGAATTCGGATTCCTCGGCTCCCTCTTCTTCCGCCTTCCTCTCGGGATTCTGTTCTGTGTCCGACTCGGCGCTGGTGTCGGGCTTCTCACTTTCCGCCGGGTTCTCGGCATCCTCTGGGACTTTGAGGAGGACGGTTTTTGCCCCTGAACTTGGCACCGGCCCGCCGGGCTTCTCCTCCTCGATGCTGGGCTCAGGGTTGTCGTCCAGGGACCCCTCCGGGAGGGCACAGGACTTCTGGAGGAGGTCTCGCTTTTGTTTAAGCGTGAGCGGGCTGCCGCGGGAGAAGTCCTGGGACTCCTCCGGCCTCGAATGTTCTTCGGAGTCTGCGGGGTCTTCCAGAGCAACACGGGCGGAGCCCACGGCACCTGCTGACTGGTTATTTCCTGAGCCCTTGGAAGAGAAGTCTTTGGAACAATCCTCCACACTTACGTGCACGAGGGGAGTTGTGCTGAGGCTGAGGACCGAGGGGGGGCTGTGGAGGGGAGGAGGGCTGTGGAGGGAGGGAGAGGAGGGAGCGTTTTTACCAGAGGCCCCAGCACTTGCCGGCTCCCCGGTCTCCTCTTCCTCGTCGCTCTCTACTATGCGGAGCGGGGGAAGAGACTCGAACACAAGAGAGTCGCTGTCAGACGTGGAGAGCACCGAGTGCTTTTCAGGCCCCGAGGTGGAGTCGGAGGACAAATCTATCAGGTCTAAATCCTCCTTGGGAGCAGGCTTGAGCGGAGAATCCACTTTGACCTCAAACGTCTCCATGCAGTTCAACCTGACTTCGGGGATCACCGGCCTGCGGGTTTCTTGGAAACTTTCCGCCGCTGGGTTCTCGGGGCCTTCGGGGTTGTCAGGCCTCGCAGCAGAGTTCTGTCTGGGACGTCCAGGGTCACGTCTCTGCATGACATAAGCAGCATGGGCGGGAGGCTTATCTAGGTCACACCGGTCTATGCAGGACTTCCTTCGGTGCTCGTCTAACGTAAACAAGAGGGAGTCTGCATTCCCTATATCAAGAGATTTTTGTTTTAAAGACCGCAGCTTTTTTTTCTGAACGCTTTCTTCTCTCACACAGTGTAGAATGCTGTCTTGTAACGCACCCGTCTCTCTATAATCAGCCGGCTCTATCTCACCTGATTGAAACAGAAAGAGCTAGTACTATTTTACTTGCAGATGCCACCACGTTTTCCCCCCTCCTACTTGGGCATACGACTGGCATAAATCATGATCACAATCCCAGCTCCAACAGGAGGGAAGAATGACTCTCTGGCCAAGTATTTTGGAAAGTTCCTTCTCATTTCAAAAACCCAGAAAACTCTGGAATGAGAGAACCCGAAATGGCAGTTTAAGATCTTATTTCCAAAATCAGGCTTCGGGATAATTCCTCAGCTCTATTCACGTGTGCACGGGAGAGGGGGACTGCTTTGGGGCTGAGGCAGATCTGGGAAACTGTATTCAAATCGTGTGGAAGAGAAGCAAACATTTTGCAACAAATCAAATCAAGCAATGGCCCTCTCAGACAATCATGACGTTAATGATGTATCTGTCAAGTCACGTATATATATAAGTGTGGATATATATATACTGTTTGTGCATACATATATATAAAATCAACGGTATTAAAATGTGTAGTAACATAATAAAATCAAGATTTCACCCCAAACAAACGGTAGAGTACAACATTTCTGCATAAAATTACTAAGAGGAAAAAATTCATACTTCTCTGCACATTCATCTCAACCGGGTGATATTTCACGGTTTTGCTGCCGCCTATCCTTTTCAATCTTGCAAAAAAAGTTTGAGACTCTTTATTGCAGGGTCCAGTAGGTGTATCATGAATATCAGATTCATCAAAAACACTATCTTCTTCTAATTGGGGAGAGAAAGTCAAAATTACACTTGGGAGGTTACTCTCTCTTAGGCTGTGTCTACACAAGCATTTCAGTGACAGCGTGAGGGAACACAGTCTGGGCTGGTTTCTACACCAGCTCAAGTTCTGGCCATGGCTTTGGTATTTCATCCGGTTGTCCAATTATCCGAATGTTGACAGAGCAACCTGTTACGAGGCTGCCTCTCGTTTTCCATGTGACCACTGGGCAGCATTTCCAAGAGAGGCATCTCGGTATTCCAAGAGGGCCTCTGGGGGATTGGGGGGATTTTTCCAGTGCTCTTAACATCGGGTAACACACACATTTCGGGGATCTGCTGCATGCTCCTTGAACATGCCCGCTTTGGGTGAATTTTCAGGCTAATTTGGCAAGGGAAAATTAAACAAAATGAGTCACGCTCGCCCTTTCCAAAAATAGACATATACCTTCCTGGGACGTGAGAACTGGCATAGACACAGCCTAACAGTACATGCACCTTATACTTTGTGAATGCAAAATACTGTACTCTACATTTGGTAATGAAACACACAACACACAGAAAAAGCTTAGAAAAGCCACTGGTCGTTTCAAAAGCTCCACAAATGATTATGGACTGAAAGAGTAAACGAAGGAAAAAGAAAACAGAAAATCACATTCTCCCCTATTAGAGTTAAGACATTCCTCTGTGGAGTTTGCCATGTGCAACTATCACGCACCCCAGAAAGATTCTCTGACTCTGAGGGTCCCGAAGCTCCATACACAAGCCCGTCACGTACAGTGCCTAGCGAGATTCCTGCTGTGTGCTCTTTTATCCCGATTTGGGCCACTTTTAAACCAAAGATAAACCCAAAAACACATTCGTGAGGAAGAGGTTGCTATGTTGCAACCCACAGAGGTCACTTAATACATGTTTTCCTCTCATCCTTTGGAAAGACCAAAGCCCTGTACAAAGCAGCAAATAAATAAATAAATAAAAGGCTACAGAAATGCACTTCATACCACAGTAAATGGAATTAACCTATTATTCAAGGTGACTATCACTGAAATCATTTGGCCTATTTGATGTCTACCTATATGACAAAATGACGCTTGGGCGTGATGACAACTACGTAAGATTTCTTGAGTACTCAGGGAGTACAAGGGGAGAGCCAGATTTCAAGGACTGATCCTGTCCTAAACACAAGACTCTAAACTAAGTGAAATCTGAAGCAGCAGATGATAGATAAAGTGATCCTACTAGTCTCGTCTTAGTCAAATTAAAAAAAAAAAAGAGTGTTAATGATCAAAATGATACAAAATCCCTGCTGAAACTTCTGCAAAGATGACAAAACCTATCAAGTTCCCATGTTTCTAGGCAGATACAACACAGTAATGTTTTCTTTCTTTATGTCCTTAAAAAAAAGGAAATAGTCCCTTTTGAAAAATTGTTTTTCAAGAAAAGAGTTATGTGACTTTCATGACATGATTTTGAAATAATTCTCAAAATGTCCTGAAGGAGAGATGGAAGGACTTCAGGATGGCTCCTCCCCTTCAGAAAGGCTCATTCGAGACTCACCCGGACTGAGGATATCTAGAGTTTAACGGAATCTATCCCATTTTCCAAAAACTGGGACCTAAGCTGGGAGACAAGATACTCTTCAGAAAGGATTTGAATGGTACCAGAACTTACAGTTCCATCTATGGCCAGATTCTTGGACCTTTTAGAACTACATGAACACTAGCTCCAATCTATCCTAGTGAGATATTTCCAGAGCAGTCCTACCAAGTCAGAACACCACAAAGGGTCGTGGGGTGTTTGACTTTCTCCCAGGATTGGATTAGATGATGTCACCTTTTACAAGTCTAGACTTGTGACTTACACTAAAGATACACACCTTGGTTTTCAGCTCTCACCTGAAAACATCCAGGCTTGGATTTTACTCTATCTAACGTTTTATTCACCTGCCTCCTTTGCAGAAAAGCTATCGATATAAAAAGTGTTGATACTGGAAATAATTTAAACCTATGTTTAAAAATGTCATCTCAGTTGCCTTAAATCATTTTCTTATTGACCAAGGAAGCTAAGGAGAAGCAATTCAGCAAATTTGGACTTCGCACCAAGTTCAGGAGCAAACTAGAGACGACAAGATCATGGCTCCACCGAGTGCCGACTGAGACTTTATTTACTTCATCGCCCAAAGCAAGATGCCTCCAACACACAGGGAAAGGCTTACAAAGGCTCCTTAGCCAAACAGCACACAATTTTTTTTTTTTTTTTACAAAACATTTCTTATGAAATGGGGTTCAGAAGCATATCAACTATTTCTCTCGAATGCTCATTTAAAAAATTAAGGCAGTGGCACTCATGGGAAAGTTGGAACAGTAATGAAGACGGAGGCGATTTTTTTGATTCCAGAATGATATCTGGGGGCACTCTGTTATCTCCTAAGAAAAACATCGTACAGAAATGTATTACGTATTCAAGCTAAGTTCGGGATGGAATTGAGGCATGTAAAGTACCTTTTTCTTTCTCGCTGTATCTGCTTACGTTACTGTTGTCACTGTACAGAGGCCCTGCCGTGGCATGGGGCTTGCAGCTGTGATACTGAGCGTTGAGTGTATTGACGGTTATGTGAATCAGATGCAGCAGGACCTTGCTGATATCACAGTCTCGGTATGGATACTGCTCAAGAAAATGGAGGGAGAAAAATACCAATGGTTATTTTGAAGGGTAAGTTTTTCCAGGTGATCTTGCTAGATACTTTCCTTGGTATTTCTTGGGGATGAAGAGAATATACTGAGAAGCAAAACCAGAAATTTTTATCATGGCCTTATCAGGACAAGGGACCGTGGTTCCTTCCTCTTGCACCAAACCACGGACGGCAAGGAATGCCCAGTTCGCAGTTACAATTCCTTTTAAGAAAATTACCTGGCATAAACATCTGGTATAGGAATATAATTTTAAATATCTTCTTTGCTTTCTGACATTATTATCCACACACAGATAAAATATGAGATGCTGAGCATAAACACAGATTGTTGATCTCAAACTCCTACAGCTCATAACATATGCTGGAGTGGTCTCTGTTGCTGTCGATTTTCCAATGGCCCTTTACTTCTCAACGCTAATTTTACGTAGCCTGATTTGTCCCGTGAAGGTCAGATTACTCTCCTACAAAATTCTCAGTTTAGATCCCTTAAGTGTTCTCCTCTCTAAGAGAATGATTCTGGCCCCAAAAGGAGTGACCGTTGGAACTCACCTTGTAAAGGATGACAAGCAAGGCCTTTAACCACATCTGCCGGATGTGAGGTTTTAGGGACCAGAGGGAACAACGAGGTGGCTGTTGGAAATAATGCCGTAGTTGAGGACAAGAGCAGTATTTGAGCACCTGAACCACCAAGGGGAGAAGGTGTTTTCCCAGGTTAATGTTATAGTCCATTACCTGAAATAGGAAAAATATTAATAACTGAAGGAAAACTACAGAGAACACTCATAAACCTAAAGGAAAATGTGACCCATCCAAACAACAGGCAAAAGCTGGACAAGGCATCTCACAAAATGTGGACAGTAATGGCCAGTGACCCTAAAGGGGGAAAAGTTAAACTTTACAAGAAATAAAAGAAAGTTGCCAATTAAAATCATTTTATCCACTTAATTATCTAATTATTTGATTTATCTACTAAATTATCCATGGGGAACAATATTTTACTAAAATGTTCCATTGAACTAGTAACTAGAATTAAACTAGAATCAATGAAAACACCTACCATTGGTCATCACTGGGGGAAATGGGCATTCTCCAATGCCACTGGCAAGAGTATTACTCAACACACCCTTTCAGGAGGGCAATTCACCAATATCTATTCAGAAGTGAGAAAAAGTACATAGCCTACAGTACAGCAACTAAATGTACCCTCAGGAAAAAATCAGACAACTGTTCCAAGATGTATACGTAAAGATATCCAGCCTTATAGTCACCCTAAATTGAAAATAACCTCCATGTTCAACAATATAAGTTAAATGAAAGATTATTTGTATGATAATAGGACACTATGTAACCATTAAATGGGATATGATACAAATTTATTAACATGATTAACTTCATAATCAATCTTAGGCTTAAAAAAAGGTTACCTGTATTTATCAATATGTGTAATACGATCCCATTACTACAGAAAATGTGTGCACACGCATACACCTGTATATATGTGCAAATGAATGTAATCAATTTGGAGCCAGCAATAACATACTGACACCGATATGTCAGTCACTCATTTTGTGGGCTTCGTGGCGATTTGAATTTAATTTTTTGCTTTATTAAATAAATATGCATAATGTAAATACAGAAAGAGAGAGGTGAGGAGAGAAAGGAGGAAGGGAGGGAAGTTTGGTATCTTAGATGGCACATCGTCTCGTCATCACAAGCAGCTGAGTGTTGGTGGTAAACCCTCCAGCACCAGCACCAGCAAAAGACTACTATGTAAGGATTGCTCCTACTTGGCTTAGCTGTGTTCATTATGTTATAATCTATTTGAGCAAGTTGGTAACAGAGACCCTCACTGAGCTCCTCCCATGAGACAGGCACTGATTAAATGCTCGGCAATGTGTCCTCCCTAATCTTTCAAAACAAAAGTCTTTACCAAAGAGCAAAGAGCAGAGAATACTTAAGGCCTCAACAGATGATAACAGTGGCAGAGTTGAAATTCGTATAGATTTCTCTCTAGCCTCAAGTTCTACACCCTTTGCAGACAGACTGGCGTAGCGCTGGTCCAGTTAGCCATACAGAAACCTAATAACTCATCACTTCTGCTCTTGCGTTCATATCTCAAATGAATTCTCACAGTGCTGGGGACGGGCAGGATGTTTGTTGCTGAGCTGTCTGGAGTGGAAAGAAGCTGGGACCAAGCAACATGCGTGTCCACCATGGGGGAAGTTAAGAGTTAAAGCATGGTAAGCGCACGCCGTGCTGTCAACGACAGCGGCTGGGAGAAGCAAACACGTACAAAGCCAATGACGGTAACATGACATGAAGAAAGTTGTATGATCAGCTCAGCTCTCCACTTGAAGCCAAAAAGGAGAGAAGATTAAAAAAAAGAAAACATAAAAGTTCTACACTCTCTTATTGTTTAATGGGCAGAGTTTCAGTTTAAGATAATGAAAAATTCTAGAGATGGATAATGATTCCAGTTACATAATAATGCAGATATACCTACAAGCCACTGAATTACATACTTAAAAATAGTTAAAATGGTAAACTTCATGTTAGGTATATTCTACTCACTGCCCCCCAACCCCCAAAGCCCTATACTCCCTATTGGTCTTCCTCATGTTATATTCCCTTCCACATGAGCCTTCCTAATAAAGTCACTTGCACAAACCTTTACACAGAACCTAGGTTGGCTAAATGGAATTTAATGACTTACTTCTACCAAAACCTTAACGATCTGACTCCTGGAAGCTTACACTTACTTGGGCAATTCCTGCAATAAATGCATTAAAGCAAGTTGACAGGCGCATTTTTTGAGGTGCAATCATGAAGCAACCTTCCTGTTGGTCATAGCCGAGCAAGACGTACAGGTGCCGCTTGACCGTGTTGAAGGCCTTCGCGCTGCTGATGTCTGACTCAGCGCTGCTCTCATCCTTCGCCATAAACTTCATGAGCACTGTAATCAGCTGGTGGACAGTCTGGTGGTCAATCCCAGCGTCTTCTGGGAGCAGGTCCTTGATGGTGTTGTCATTCTCAGGAGACTCTTGTCCTGTCAGTACAAGAAAGGTCATCAGTGGGTGGCTCCCTCCCAAAGGCGCTCACAAGGAAATCTCACTTATTGATAAAACACCATCCCTTCGGCTTCCACTAAATATTTAGAGGGTCTGTTCTAGACCAACGTGAAGGCAAAAATGGTCTACTCAGCAAAGCATTAATTCAGGGGTGAACATTATTATTTCATCAACAACCAACTAATTTGGAAGTAATAAGGGAATAGAAATTTTAAAAGGCACTATAAAGCAAGGTTCTCTTTGGAAGGCAAGAAAAATACTTAAATAAATTTGTACTTAGCGATTTTTAAAATATCTTGGCAAAGTTTTATCTTCAATGATAAAGAGAAGTTTCCCTTCCAGATTTGTCCAGTAAGCACATAAAAATTACCACAAAAATAATATTCTAACATCCACTGAGCACAAAAGCATACACTGAGTTCTTGTGCTAAAATTTCTCTCTCAGTTTAGGGGTGTCTAGGTGGCTCAGTCAGTTAAGCATCTGCCTTCGACTCAGGTCTTGATCCCAGGGTCCTGGGATCAAGCCCCGCATCAGGCTCCCTGCTGAGCAGGGAGTCTGCTTCTCCCTCTCCCACTGCCTGTTGCTCCCCCTGCTTGTGATCACACGTTTTCTCTCTGTGTCAAATAAGTAAATAAAATCTTTAAAATATATATATTATCTCAGTTCAGTTATGTTCATAAATCAGCTGGTGGAAAATAATGTAAAGTTTTCTTTTCCAAATCCTGAGATATTAGCAATGAGTACTCTATGAAAGATATAGTCAAAATTACAAATAGCAAATCATAAGTCCTGCTGTATGTAATGAGAAACATATAAGGGAGGGGACAGACAGAAAGAAAGAAGCATGAGCTCTTAAAAACAGAAAAATACCACATGAAGGTGAGCTGAAAGTTTACATGGACAGAAAAGAATACCTTAGCCCTTGATTTATTCGTAACCTAACAAATAATTGTATCACAGCAGCTCCCTGACTTTGGCTTTCTCTCTGTTATTTGTCAAAGTCAGAAATTATACCCTGTCTCTGTTTGTTTTTCTGCTTCTTCTGATCTGGTTTAGTTTAGGACTCTTGCTGAAGGAAAGGGGAGATCTACTCTTCTCTGTTTATGTTTGGGGACTCATTCCAAATACCCTTCACATCCTAGTCCCTTCTTTGACAGGCGACCTCACACTTTCTAAATGGAAAACAAGATTTTTGCCTGGTGGCTTAGATGACGCACCCAGGGTTCTCATCGCTCACCCTGCAAGGAAAATTTCTGCTAAACGATGACCGGCTCTGCTTACCAACCATTATAAACCGAACCGGGACCATATCATATCATGCTTCTTATAATATCATGTAATTATGGCATGAAAGATACGAGAAGGAGATAGGTAGTAATTTATATCCATTAACTCAACTAATTTGGCAAAACCCCAGTCTTCCAGGACACAGCCAAGAGAAGCAGGATAGAAGAAATGCTTCTGGGGACTGTGGAAATTAACCGTCTCAAGGCCAAACAATTTTCTCTGGAGCAGTGGCACAAAGGTACTGCCAAATTCAGAACTTACTAGTTTCGAACAGTATGTGAGGTAACAAGCTTGGTTGTGTAGTTCTCCCCAGATGCTCCAATTAATGTCCGTCTGTGCAAACGTGATAGGCTGAGGAAGGATCATTATCCATCTCTAGAGCAACAGAGTCAACTAAGTCTCAGGGCCTCTCATTTAGGGGAAAAGTGTCTGATGAACTTCAATACTACCCTAGAACATTCACATTTTCTGTCTCCTAGTCTCTGTATGAAGAATAAATGTGGGCAACGTACTCTGGGGTAGCTTTCACCCCAAATCATTCATATAAAGCCTAAGGACTTGTTTATTACAGTGTTCCACATGCATAGATGATAGCGATCAACAAATTGAAAATACCGTTACTTATGAGGCATGTATCAGCCACCAAGAGAAAAAGCAATTTATGTGGAACACCCTGTTTTGCCAAGAGCCCAGAAATGTGAAGCACTGCTGCATATTATAATGAAATTAAATGTTTGGGATAGAAGATCAGACCAACAGCAATACCTACGTAAATCCTCATAACATAAAATTTTAAAAAGTTTGGAGGACTATTTTTCCAGCATCGAGAAATAGTCAGTCTTGATTCCTTTCTTCTCCAGAGTATTACTTTACAGCTACAAGGAGTTATTGCTTTGGGCAAGCCTGGGCCAAGAATGAGACAAGTGTGAGAATGCAGGCTCCCTGCAGGGTTCAATGTTACCGCAGCAGCAAGGGCTGGCTGTTACAATGTAGCTTCATTCCTCCATGTGTCTCTGCTCGGGGTGGCAAGGTTTAACAGACCTGGCAGCCCTGTCCTGCTCAGCCACTGCCAAGTTCAGACTGGCTAGATTCCAAGGTCCCCACGTGAAAAATGGAACTAGGGAGCATTTGGGAAGGAGCTGCCCCTTTATTTTATAGCCCAAGAATCCAGGGGCCTCAATACAGAAGAAGGGAGCTCCAAAAAAAGCCCAGCTAAGTCATTGGCTCCTCATTTCATTCTATCCTAGTTCAGGTGTAGAAAATAAATGATCAGGCTTCATCTTTAAATACTTCAAAATTCTTCTTCCCATTGCAAGTAGATGTTTGTTTAAAAAGTATACAACCTGGGGCATCTGGGTGGCTCAGTTAGTTAAGCATCTGCCTCTTGATTTCGGCTCAGGTCATAACCTCAGTGTCCCGAGACTGACTCCTGCATCAGGTTCTGCACTGCATGTGGAGCCTACTTGAGATTCTCTCTCTCTCTCTCTCTCTTCTTTTGCCTGCCTCCCCCACCTCAAAATAATAATAATAATAAGATACAGCATGTAACCTAACTTTTCCCATCAAATCTTAGTTTCCTAATGAGTAATTACCATTTCACAAATACCCTATTTTCATTTGAAATACATTTTCACTGATCTCCAGTGTTTTAGCTTTCAGTTTGCCGCTCCTTCCTTTGTTTTCCCTGAATGGGAAATAATGAGTGAGCCTTAACAAAGCATTAAATGTACTGAAAAAAAAAAAAAAAAAGAACTAGTTGATGAAACTTTTTGTATAAAGTGAAAAAAATCTTTGTTCCAAAAACTTACTTCTCTAGTTGCAGGCTTTGCAAGTCTATGCGTTGTCTATTGTCTTTCTTTAAAATAGCATATGCTTTTCACTGGTATACTCTTCATAAAGGAAATTTCCTTCATCAAATCCCTAAGAAAAATTAGCTTAGAAAAGCTAGAATTTTATTAATAAAGACAATACTACTGTTTTAAGTTATCTACAAAGGGCATGACATTTCCATTTTAAAACTGAATGCCTTTGAAATTTCCTCTAAGATGTGACAATTAAAACACTTTTGAATTCTAGTTTTGAATGCTAGCCTATGAAATTCCTCTACGTTTTAACCATAGAGATTTAACTTGTTAAAATTTTTTATTTTATCATTTCGCTAATGAAAACTGTAAGCAACTTCAGAATCACGAGGCAGAGTGATTCCTCCCCTAACTTTATCATGGGCTGAGTTCATCACAGTCTATCCACAGAGTGCTACAACTGACTGAAACTCTAAAGGGTCATACAATTTTATTTATTTGATGATTGGAAACCAGGCAGGATCAGGATCTGCTTTTCCAGACTTATGTCTTCTTATTCACCCCCGATGCTCAACATTCTTACCATCTGGGCTACTCCTAGGTCTCAGAACGTAGCCAACACTTTCCCACCTTTGTGTCTTGCTCAGGGTGATACACCTCTCAGCACCCCGACCCCCAGCCAATCTCGTCCTGTAAATCCCAGTCCTCAGGACTCATTCTTCCCACCTATGCCCACCCTCCTCTCAGCAACTGGATGTGATCTCTAACTTCTGCAAATCCCCAAGGACTAGAGAGGGAGTATGGGAGGGAGGAATGGAGGAAAATTTCCTTTACCGTTTCCTAAAATGGGGCAAATTGCAAGGCAGAATTTCACTCGTTTGTCAATTTCACCTAGGAGAAAAAAACTCCTTGAAGGTGAGTGCTATGTCTTAACCCATTTTTATACCCCTCACAGAATATGAGGCAGTGTCTGACATAGACTAGATGCTTATTCTTCAGAAGTGTCTAAGTACACTGAATTCAAATAAATATCTCAGGCAAATATTTCTTCCACACAGGAGGAAAAACTGGTGAGGCCCCCAAAGAGCAAGGAAATAGGGAATATTCCTCTGTGTAAGCTGACCTCTGTCTAACCAACAAGAGACAATCAGGTACAGGAAGGAAGCTCCGCTTCCATGAGCTTCCTCTGCATTTATTCCAGAGAACCCAATGATCAAGCACTATAAATGAGTTTGCTTTACATTGCTAGTTCTTTTTTTTTTAAATAATTTTTTAATTATGTTACATTAGTCACCATACAATATATCATTAGTTTTTGACGTAGTGTTCCATGATTCATTGTTTGCATATAACACCCAGTGCTCCACGCAATACATGCCCTCCTTAATACCCATCACCGGGCTCACCCATCTTCCCACCCCTCTTCTCTGAAACCCTCAGTCTGGTTCCCAGAGTCCATAGTCTCTCATGGTTCATCTCCCCCTCCGATTCCCCCCCCACCATTTTCCCCTTCCAGCTTCTAATGTCCTCCATGCTAATCCTTATGTTCCACAAATAACTGAAACCCTATGATAATTGTCTTTCTCTGTTTGACTTATTTCACTCAGCATAATCTCCTCCAGTCCCATCCATGTAAATGCAAATAGTAGGTATTCATCCTTTCTGATGGCTGAGTAATATTCCACTATGGACTACATCTTTATCCATTCATCTGTTGAAGGGCATCTCAGCTCCTACCACAGTTTGGCTATTGTGGACATTGCTGCAATGAACACTGGGGTGCACATGCCTCTTCTTTTCACTACATCTGTATCTTTGGCGTAAATATCCAGTATGTTGCTAATTCTAATTATACCACCTCACTGATCTCCTAGCCCATTAACCCAAC